CTATGACTACAAGGAGCGAAAAAACGATTCACTTTTTTTTGGTACGAACCGTGCCACAGGTGATAGGCACCCATCAATACTGCTAGCTGAGCGTCGCAACGTCTTACATCACATGCTTCAGGCTCAACTTAATTCGCCCTGATTATAATTTATAGGTGTTTTTCTTCTCGTTGAACAAGGAATATCAGAATGGTCTGCGTGAGATAGCGCGGTCAACTCATGTGTGAGGGTGAATTGTGGATGACCCAAGCGGATATCCGAATCTCTCGGCTCATCCAGCCTGACATAAAAGCCATACTGACGCACTTATTGACCTTATGAAGATAGTCCTTTCTTAGCAGTGTGTGGAATAAATGCACCGCCTTATAAAACACAAAGTGGTTCCATTCTGCTGGCCGTCTTAGCCAGGACTGGAAGAATGATTTGTAGGCCAAAACATTACTAACTACTTACTTTTAATTAATGTAAATTAGAGCCATGTCGGTTTTTATAGGCCTAGATATTCACATAGAACCCCAGACCCTCCAGTTGTGCTATGTTAAGTTTTCATAAAACTTGAAGTGCTCTAATTTACTTTATTCGCCACATTTCGGTTTAAATTGTATTCGAATGTCGGTGTGACTTTTTTGAGTTCGAAAAGTGTTTTCTAGATTGGAAAACTCCACTGAGTTCAAATCTGTATGATCGGTTTACGGTAAACGGAAGAAGTTGGGGGGTACTGTAAACCTGGCGCATCGAGCTGTGCTGCTAACGAACAGCAGCTCCCCTCCTTAAACCAACAGCGCAATAAATACAAAGCTCGTCAGAACAAGCAGTCATGTTAAACTAACTAAGCAACATACTTCCGCTTTATCTAGAGTGCATTTTGTATGATTGCTGACACTGTTTTGCTCTGAAAGCGTAATATAAGCTAGACTACGTGCGGGCTTGTCGGCCTATCTACATACATATAAATCCTAGTCGCGATTCGATATTTCTGCTGTTGTATACCACGCAGCAATCATGGCCAAATCTTGGACCGTTCCATTTCTTTTTCGCGGGTTGCAAGTCCTGGGGCTCTTTCCGTATCCATTACTGCATCCCAGTGTCAACCACAAATGCAACCCGATCATCCGTATTCTACTGACCGTTTGGGCAGTTATTTTGTCCTTTATGCCATTGTCGTCTACTGTCAGCACCGTTTACGCTTATATTGGTTCGTACATCGATAACCATGCCCTAAAAACCTTGGAATTTTTCACGTTAATCCGGATAACTTTTATGCTATTGCTCTATCTGCAGTCGTTTCTTGTAATAGTTATCTTCAACTGCAACGCATCTAGCGTACGCAAGCTATACATCGTCGTGATAGAACATGGAAAAACTCAAATTCGTGAAAAGAGACAGTTACTTTTGGTTATCTGGTGCTTTGTTTATATAGCGGCTTTTGGCTTTACAATCTATAACAACATGTTTCGAATGGTCATAAAGGTCGATTCTCAAAACTCAACCTGGGCGTCAAAAATGGGCTTATTTCACACGGACGGTTTCCAAATGCCGCTGTATGCCGCATGCGTGTATGCTGTATTCTCGGTTGGATTGTCAGCGAGCTGCGAAATTATCCCGCAGAATATTCTGCTAGCCGCTATTCTGGATGTTGATGGATGCTTGCGCAACCTAACCAATGAAATTGACGAATTAGTTATCGAACCACGACCAGAAGTCCAAAAACGCGCTAATACGGTTCTCGATCACGTGGAACGAGAATATCGCCGGCTACACATTCATTTGACACAGATTGATAAGGCGTTCTCGGGATTTATGCTAATAATGTTTGTGAAAAACTCTGTTTACGCTGCAGCGCTACTGGGTTACTTTTTCACTTCTATGGATATCAGGCCGAAAAGCGTAACGGAAATTGTTGACCAGAATGTTGTGTGGGCCGTGTGCAGCGTCAGCCTAGTTAGTGCCTGCCTGAGTTATTACATTTGCATCTCATGCAATAACCAGGTAAGTGCTTAGTCCCTTCTTAAATTTCGACTAGATTCCAGGACAACAAGTGCATATGTATAAAGTAACAGCACTGCCGAGTTTTTGGCACTATGGCAGCTTTTTGTACCCAGTGGGTTCTTGTCGTTGACAGGTTGAACGGCTACGAAATTCGCTTTTCAACGTGGGCACTAACTTTTCTGACGGGCCGCTTCAGCATCGATTTGACGAGCTCCTCGCACTGTGCACGGATCACGAGGGCGCCGTTACGATCGGAGGATTTCTACGGGTCGACCAGCAGCTAATCCCCACGGTAGTAACGTCATTAAGGTTCACATTTACACACTCACGTCCCAGCTGTTCAAATACTGTAGCTCGCTGGAATTCTATTGGGATATGGAATCCTCATCTATCAGACGCACGATACAAAAATGGATATGCAGACCTTGGTTTCCAAACGGGAATTTGCTGCGCTAACATCACGACTGACACACTGCCTACCCAACGAAAATTTCACCTCAGCTTCAACAGTATCTCCATAACTATTTTGTCACAGCTACCGACTATTTACATATGTACATACAAACGTGATTTGCATCAGGTATTTACACTGACATCAGTTTCACTTTTTGTCATTCTGATGAACGAACGATCTTTTCTGTACTTGTAATTTTTCTGTACTTGTGATGCCGTGCTTGTGATGCCGTGCTTTCCCGATTCTGCTGGCAATAACCATATCTGCAACTCCCTTAATGGCCTAAATGCTTTTCTGGCCTGTACAGTTATACGCTTCCTCTAAGCGCTAAGCAGCAATGCGCAAATGATAGCCTGTAGCTTTCAGCTCTAATAGTACACTATTCACAGATATCCCATCGGGACCGCAGTGTATTAATCTTCGAATGTATCAATTTGTGATATCAATTTGATACATAATTAATGCGTAGGTAATGCGCAGACACATGTTGCCATGCGTACCTGTCAGAATGTAAATTTTATTTACGCTTTTGTGGACAAGGGCAGAGCGGCAAGAAAATTTTTCAGCGGCAAATCAGCACGTGCAAATTTTTTGTGGTATGTGTTTATGGTACAGTGCGTTTATTAGCCCCAAAATGTCCATAATATATTGCACTTTCCCAGATACGAACGAAGCCTGGCGGGTTTCGGCTATGGTTGCATACGTTAAATATATGCGGCTACGTCCTTATACGGGTATTCAAGGAACAAGATCTGCCTATACTACTTACTACAACAACCCCATAGCCTCTGGATCAGAGAAAAATAATCAAATTGATTAGATTCAGCACAGCTAGAGACCGTGTCATATGCATTTTAATTTACAAAAGATCAGCTCCTAACCCTTCTCACAGAAGCCGGTACCGGTGCTGGTAGAACGATAAAACTTAAGGTGACCTTGCAAAAAATTCAAAGTTTTGGTTGCATAAAAGTGGAAAATTAGTGATTCAAAATGTTCCTTAAAACTGTTAACCTGGATAAAAAAATTAAATTCTTATTTGATCTTAATCTTGATCAAATAAAATCATGATTATGACCCAAACGGCAGATCTTTCATTACAATCCTTTTAAAGTCGTTAGCGGGTTTCAGGTGTGAACATGAGCTGTCATGTAAACTAAGGAACTTAAGGGAACCCGGATGTAAATCACCGTTACTAACCCAGGGCGAATGAACGTCCGAAACAGGTACATCCGGACGCATGCGTGCAATGGACTCATATTTTTCAGATCAGGTAATGTTCGAAGAATCAGAATGAACTGCAGAAAGAACTGCTCGTAGTAAATGTCTAAACAATCGCTCGCAATTAAAAACACCCATAAAGGTGGATTTGTGCAGCGATTATTGAGTAGGAGTAACCACTACTGTCCTGCGCTTAGAACGCTCACCATCAAAGTGCTGCGCTCACCATGGTCAGCAAAAAGAACGAGTGACTGAGCCACCACTGCTGTCCAGTGCACACATCTCGTTAGTCGTTAGGTAAGCGAGTGACCAAGCTACCAGTGCTTTCCAGTGCAGAGCCTGCTATGTGAACGAGTGACCGAGCTCCCACTACAGTGCAGTGCATAGATCTTGTTAGGTAAACGAGTGGCCGAGCTACCACAACTGTCCAGTGCAGAGCCCGCTAAGTCAACGAGTGACCAGTGACCAAGCTACCACTGTTGTCCAGTGCAGCACCAAGGCCACTTGCTAAGTGAGCCCGCTAGGTGAGCAAATAATGGAGCTACTACTACTGACCGGACACACATCACTCGCAATTGAAGATAGCCTGTGAAAGGGATTGAATCAACGAACTAGTTATAGTCTTCAGTGCTGAGTGTACTCGCAATGTGCGTTTCAAATTTGAAAAAGTATAGACAATCAGATTTCAATTTTTTTCGGGTAGGAAGATAAAATATCGCACAGCCAAAGGGAACGCTTTCGAGGTTGAGAGAATCATGAACTGATTTTTACATAAAGATTTTCATATAAAATCTGTGTTTACTGCGCTGTTGCGAAGTATGTACTTATCATGTTTCAACGAAATATCAATTTCAAAGTAATAAAAATTCGTTTGAAATAAACAAAAGTGGCCGCAGACCACAGAAGACGCGGAGGCGCAGCCGAAGCTGTTTCTTGTAAATAAAGTTGGAAGTCTTCGGCGTAACAGTAGACAAAATAAAATGGGTGTAATCAGTGCAATGCTACTGCGCGTAGACCCTCAGCAATTACGATGGCACTAAATTATCTCTAGACGAATTACAAAATCTCATTGAAAAAAGCCCTGCAAGTTCAAGGCAGTGGATTTGATTATGGCCTTTGAACAATTACCTTTGCATAGCGCGCACGCGTACTCGGCACTAGATCAGCACCGACACACACACTGACTTTGTGAACCGCGCGATAACAAGGAAACGAACAGCCGCTTATAATAGCCGAGCGAACAGACGCAGTCCGGCATTAATCCATCAAACAAAAACACCGGTACAACTTATTCGTATAAAAGCGCTACGGTTTGCATGACCAGCATGCAGCGCTTTCTTAACATTCTTTCAAGTCAAGTTGTTCTTTCCTTCGAAGCCGGTAAAGGATGCACTGCCTACTTGTGTTGGCTGCTGTGTTGGGCGTCGCCAGTGCCGGTGTGGTTAAGAGACAAGTCCAGAGTCCGGGTGTGTTCAGCGCTTTGGATCGACTGCGCGGCAAGAGCAAACTGAGCAATGACGACATTCGCAGTCTGGTACTGACGGCAAAGCCCGGTCAAGATTATCCCGATCTTACCAGTATTCCGGAATCCACATTCGACTGCAACGCCCACAAACCCGGCTTCTATGCTGATGTTTCTCAACGCTGCCAAGGTACAACATAAAATTATGAATAACAACAGTATTATTGATAAATAAAAAAAGTTGATCTTTTAAAGTTTTTATAGGCGAATAAACCATAATAACGAAAAGTATGCATTAATATTATTTTGCCAGCAGCACCCAACTGGTGTAATACTTCCGATTTCTAGTAAATTGTAGCGGAAATCTCCAAGGTAAAGATTTTAGAAAAGTTACTAGTATAAAACTGATGACTTTTGCAGTTGTTCGCCGCTGCGACGTCAACGGCAACCAGACCTCCTTCCTGTGCCCCAGCATGACCGTACGTACATCCATCACACATCGTGCCTTGGATAATGCAAACGTCAGCTGTAGATTTGCATCTCTCTTGTAGGTCTTCAACCAGATCACCCTAGTCTGTCACTGGTTTTGGGATGTTGACTGCAGCCTGTCCGAGACGTTCTACGATTACTCCAACAGCCGGCTGTACCAGGAGAATGCTGTCCTGTTGGACAATGAGACCACCTACCAGGAGACGGCCGCTGCTATTTCCGCTACAACCACGGCTGTCGCCCCTAAAGCCGCCGTCCCTAAAGCTGCTGCCCCAAAACCTAAAACCGCGGCTAAGACTGGTCCCAAGAGCCTCGCCCTAAAGCAATTCTAAAACATTAAACGAACATCTGAATATGAGGCTACTGCAAAACCGACATCGTTGCGCGGTCGTTTAAGTCTAGTCAAAGTGTGATGTATGCATGTATACTTCAGTATAAAGAAGTACGACTTTAAAGAAGTATGACTTTAATAATATAAGTTGACAGCAGCGAGCTCGCAGGATGACTAAATATGAAGTACGACAAGTGACAGACACGCAGTAACGGAGTTGCTAAGTACAACAGAAATAATACGTAAACGCAGATTCACGAGAACACCACACAAAGTGTCAGTTACAGTCCCTTAATAATAATGGCTGAAGTGTACTTTATTTCAATAACGTGATAACAATATCAAGATCTAATTACGGTTAAACGAAACAACATTCTCAACGGTACCGAGTACGGAGGCAGCATTACCACGTTGAATTGCTAGAGAGATGTTCTGTTTCAAAAACTCAAGACTACGAATCTCGCCAGTTTGTAGGGAAATCCTCTTCCCAATTTCGTTAACAAATCGTTTGGCAGATGTACCAAAACTACCGAAAGTTTCGCAGCCGGCAGCCGCAAATTCGTATCGTCCCAACAGCAAACTGTACTTTTTGGCTTTCTCGGCTTCGGCATGGTCTGCTGCCGCTCCGGCCTTTACACTGGTCTGATCCAAATACGAACGGGCGACAGTATCAACACAGGTAACATCCCATGCCAAACACAGTCCCCTGGTCCATGGGAAAGTGGTGATGCCATCGGGACGTGTTTCGTTATCGTGATGCATGCCTCTAGGTTCAGTCCTTGCGGGAATACCTGCTGAGCCAAGAGCCCGTCGCAAGATGTCGTTAATGCAGTCATGTCTACGCCGTCTTCCCGCTGAAAATTTGCAGCTCAGGCCATGATGACCGTCTGCTCTTCCCGCTGAAAATTTGCAGCTCAGGCCATGATGACCGTCTGCTGCAACGTCGCTTCCACATTTACACTGGTGATCGGATGACGCCGATGCGCCAAGCCGAATTGCAACGGCGATCCGAAACGTCTCATCATCTAAAAGGTTTCCGATGGAGGAAGATGGAAGTGCGTGTGTCCAAACGCCTGACTCCGGAGTGGAAACGGCTAACAGCCGGGCTTTGCTAGCAGGGTCTAAAGCATCGTGCAGCATGGTTGCCTGCTCTGTTAAACAATACGGAGTGTCCCATGCGCGTTGCAGGTGTCGGCTTTCCGATAAAGGAGGCGGTGCGTCGTCGGACAGGTACCTCCAAAGAGCCACGTGGTCCGTCACGTCAGCTCCTGCTGAATGCGGCAACAGTCGGCAAACCAGACCTTGGGTAGCGTGAATCGAGGCCAAGTAGGCCAAAGATAATTCCTCTACCCGGCGGATCCCGAGCCCACCACAGCGCACTGGCAGGGAAGCTTGACGCCATGCGGATGTGTCCATGCGCACATTGCAGATGGACTGCAGCGACTGTCTAAGAACGTCGTCAAATTCGATGAGACTGTCTCGTGCTTCGAAGGTTGGGCAGCAGCGTAAAAGGTGAATAACCTTTGGCGCGCTGAGACTGCACTTCAATAAGAAGTAAGCTTGGTGTTTGGGTAACAGGTCGAGACGATTAGCAATTAGGCGCATAACTTCAGTTTTCTGCTGTATCGCTGACGTGATGCCGTTCTTCATCAGTGGAGCACCCAACAGACAGAGGTTTTCCGGTGCAGCAACTGAAACAGTTGGAAAACGTTCAAGGAAGGTTTTCACAGCTGCTTCCCGTTCATCGCAGGTCCCTCCACAGACAAAAATCTCACACTTAGACATGTTGACACTGAGTCCGGCTGCGTGTGCTGTATCGATTACAGTCTGGAAGTCCGCTGCGACTGTTTCGACACACCCACCAAGTGTACCGTCGTCAAGAAACCACGCGTTAAAAGCTGCCTTGAGCGCGGAAGTTAGTGGAAGAATTCCCAGAGAAAATAAATAATTATGTTAACTGGTACAAATGACTTGTATGTAGTGAATGTGTTAAACCGCTTCGCGTGCAGGCAATAGGCGCAGTAGCTAAATCCGGGTCACTTACCCCTAGACCAATCACGGATTGTTCCAGACCTTTTGATTGACTGAATTCGTACATTGAACCGGAATCGTTTAAATTTGAAACTGTTCAGGATGTTATTGAGCTTAGTTGCGCTAATTGCTTTTATGCAGTTGTGGACATCAAGTCCGCATACCGGCACGTCCCAGTTTACCCACCGCACCGGCAACTGCAGGGGTTTAAATGGGGATTCGGGAATGAACCGGAAACGTATTTTGTTGACAACTTTTTATGTTTCGGGTTGGCCAACGCACCGGCAATTTTTCAGCGAATATCGGGGGCATTTGCAAGGAAGATTAGGAAATTGGGTTTTAAATGCATTTGTTATTTAGATGATTTTATTTTGATAGCGCAGACGTACGAGCACTGCGCACAAGCGCAACAGCAGCTTATATCCTTGTTACTGAAACTGGGATTTGCACTTAAATGGGAAAAGGTAGTGAGTCCCACCACTCGCATACAGTTTCTTGGGTTGATTATTGATTCGCAGTCGCAGTGCATAGTTCTACCGCAAGAAAAGCTAAACCATTTAGCATCCACAGCTTTGCAGTTTGCAGTAAGCAGAAAAATCTCTAAAAGAGAATTGCAGGCATTAATAGGACACATTTCCTTCGCATCCCGAGCAGTCGCAGGTGCAGCCACATTTACCAGGTATTTCATTGATATTATGATGAAACTCAAAGCGCCGTCACATCTTGCGCGGGTCACACGGACAATGCAGTGCGCATTACAGTGGTGGGGAAATTTTGCAGCGGCGGTAAATGGAAAAGTGCAGTGGCCAATTGCAGTGGCCAGCCGATCTCGAGCGGTTCTACACACGGACGCGTCATTCAGTGGTTTCGGAGCTACGATGGACGAAAATTGGCTGGCAGGATGTTGGGACGCAGATTATCAGTTACCCCCTAAACTGACGTCAGTAAGCAGTAACTGGATAGCAGCACCCGCAGTTGACAGAACCCTTCGGGAAAACATTAACTTTCTGGAGCTAATTGCCGCATGCCTGCTCATCTTAGTATGGGCACCAATTTTAACCGGCAAGCGAGTGGTTGTGACGTCAGATAACAGTTCAACTGTAGCCTTCATCTGCCGTGGTACAACCAAAAACAGTGCGGCTTTGCAGTGGCTAAAGCTTTTGTTCTATGTAACGTTGAAGTTTGACCTTTCAATTACCGCAATACACTGTCCAGGTGTGACAAACGTGGCAGCAGATTCTCTTAGCAGGATAACTTCTGACAGTAGCCATATTGACAGATTTGTATCTGTTTTTCGCAGCTTCCCGGGAGCACGCTTACCGCAGACGACCAGCGCCTCATATTCCAAAGGCGGAACTGGAGAGGCAGCTGAGGCACTTGCGCAGTTGTGGCACAGCGATTTCGTCACAAAGAACGCGGCGCTCCCAGTGGAGCAGATTTGAGCAGTTTTGCAGCGCGTATAAACTTCAAGCAGTCCCGGCTTCGCCTCATACGATTTGCCTATATGTTACCGAGTTGCGCCGTAGCTCGTTGCAGTATACAACGATAATAAATTATGTGGCCAGTCTAGCATCTCTTCATCATTCGCAGAACCTGGACGCACCAGATCTTTCACATTTTGCAATAAAGGAAGCCTTGGCAGGCGCACAAAAGCAGTGCGAAGAGTTACCTCACAAACGCGTGGGCATAAATCTGAGTACACTAGTTGCAATTCGGCAGCGTTTACGAGTTGTCCCGGAAGGAATCCGAGCAACGTTTTGAGCAGCATGTTTGTTGGCATTTTTCTCGCTTTTCCGCAGCTCAAACTTATTTTGCACCAGCAGTAATCGGCATGTTTTGGTGAAAAACTTATGTCGCGTGGTCATTGGTTATAAGGTCACCGCACCGGCGCTGAAATCTAATCGTTACAGGAACGGATCAGTTGAAGTGGTTATGCCGGAAATTGCGCAGGCTAAGGCATTGTGTCCGGTAGCAGCAATTCAGGAAATGCTTGCCGAGAGTGGGGCAAAAGGAAACGATCACCTTCTTTCCTATCGCAGAAACAAAGTCCTGATAAGCATGACATCAAAGCAGTTTAACGGCTACCTCAAGAAAGTATTGGCCAAAGCAGGCATTGATTCGTCGCATATCTCAACACACTCATTCCGCCGTGGCGGTGCGACCCTTGCAGCATCGTTGGGAGCATCCGCAGAGGTTGTGAAGGCACAAGGGAACTGGCGGCACCGCGACATTTCGCCGCCGACAACTCGCTGCAGGACTTTTAGTCGCAGACATTTCGCCGCAAGGTCATCTGGCCTTGCGACGCTTCGTCGTCGGACATTTAACCGGCACGACATTACGCCGCGAGACAATTCGTCGTCCGGCCGTTTCGACGTCGAGACATTTCGCCGCAGGGCTGTTTTGACGAAAAGTCCATTTGAGCAGGTAAACCTTTAAAATATGAAGGTTAAGAAACATCACAAAACCCAAAGAAACCTAAGAATAACCTAAGAATAGCCTAAGAAACCTAAGAATAACCTAAGAATAGCCTAAGAAACCTAAGAATAACCTAAGAATAACCTAAGAAACCTAAAAATAACTAAGAATGACCTAAGAAACCTAAGAATAACCTAAGAAACCTAAGAATAACCTACGAATAACCTAAGAAACCTAAGAATAGCCCAAGAATAACCTAAGGCTAACCTAAGAATAGCCTTAGAGCAGTTGAAAAAGACCAAAAGACTTAAGAAAATCCCCCAAGAAACCAGGAAAAACTGCGAAAATTAAACGCGTCGAATGCTTTTGCGGCGAAGTGTCCGCGACCAGACGTCTTGCGTCAAAATGTCGCAAAGTCAAAATGTCTCAATGCTAATTGTCCCTAACCGAAGTGTCCCAGCGTCAAAATGTCCCGCGGCGAAATTTCTTCGCGGCGAAAAGTCGTGCGTCGAATTTAATTGCGGCGAAATACACTCCCAAATGTCCAGGTGCGGAACTGGCACAGTAACTGCTACGCTCAGTATGTAACGTTGGACAATGAGCGCAGGAACGAATTTGCAACGTGTATAGCATCATGTGCAATGCAGCAGTGAGTTGTTTGGGGGTTTGGAGGATTACCTGCCTGTGTGCAGGCGTTCTGTGTTAGGTGTTTCCTTGTACCGGCAGACCAATCGTTTGCCAGGGATTTTTATGGAATTAAAATCCACCCCCCATGCATCACGTGTTTGTTATTTGCCTCTCCTTGGCAGTAGTCGGCAATAATTGGTACGAATGACTTATATGTAGTGAATGTGTTATTCAGCTAGTTCTTGTGGAAAAATAAATGTATAGTGCTGTACGTGGATGCTCTGACCGAGTGGTAATAACCTGTCAACACTCAAACTGAAATAATCTCAATCACGTACGGTTTTAGCGTACATACTGACTGACTCATGTGCCATTGAACCCTTTACAATTTGATGTCAGATGGCAGAAGATTTTGCTCAAAGAATTTCGTAAGAGACATTCTTCACAAAAACGGGAGGGTACGCTCCATTTTTTGCTTCTGCGTCTGATTCGGCGGCGTTAGAATTTTGCTAATGCTCTAGGTACCGCCGTGCGTTAACTCACATAATCGGTTGATCGTGGATTCGTGATAAGAAGTTGAAGGTTAACGAATAACGACAACGGCGTAAGATCTAAATTACCACATACAGATATAGCAAACGATACTGAGTTACCGTCAGATTATTATATAAGGGGCGAAAGTAAACGCGTTCCACCGTTCCCCTGTACTGCTGCCGTCACCCGTCTGGAGTGTGACGTTACGGCAATACATGTGGTTAAATCTGGCGCGGTACATAAGCGCCATGTTCAGCCACAACGCCAAACTCCAGGCGGGTGACGGCAGCAGTACAGGGGAACGGTGGAACACGTTTACTTTTGCCCCCTATAGTGTGAGAGCAAAAATGAGAGGTATACGATATATATATTATATAAGTTTTATAGGTAACCGACCGACCGGTATATAGAAAAATTTTACGCCAGAGGACAAAATGCGCATATTGCCGGCGTCATTAGTTTATGCGTTGCCATTTCGTAAAGTGACGACTACTGGTAACTGTCTGGACAAACCGTTTCTATAATGTAGTTCGATGCTACATAATGCATTTGTAATCAAGTTAAACTGGCGTAAGGTGCAGATGTAGATCAGTTTACGCGGTTGGAGTTCAGTTTTCTGCCGATTCGCACTCGTAATTACCTTCATATTCTCCCGCCATCGGCTGTTATCGTGTCGGTGAGCTTATAGGCGGCTTGATCAGATTTCGTTACACATCTTACTCGGGAGTTCCAGAGAAATAGTTAATCAGCTCATCCCTGGCAACGTTGGCTACAAAGTTTCCAGCATAAGCTGACGGCTTGAACTCGGACTCGGCTTCCGCCTTTCAATAATCACGGAAGGCGGAACTCCCCCATCGATCCACACATTACTAAGAAATTTCTATTACTTTCTGCGACTAAAAGGAGTTTTTCCGGTGAAACTCATACACTAATAACTTTAGCAGCATATAATCCCTTAATGCATCTTTGAATTACTACAAGCTAAGTACAGTTTACGCACGCTCGCGTACCATTTTTAAATGACAGGGATCTCAAGGCGTAGTTGAATCTGTGTTGCCGTTACATGCACTTCCATTCCCTTATAGATATTCACCCTGCAAATTTGCCGGCAGCACTCATTTAACGATTCGGGTATGGAGAACCGTAGCCTTCGTAACTACTTCTTAAACCAGAGCAGTAACAACAGCACAGAAATCCCAGCTTGGATCAAATATCACTACACATTAACCGCATGGTTCGCCGCAACAATTACCCTTGCTGGCGTTGGCGTGATCCTCTTCATTCTCTTACTGCTGGTCATCATCCGCGGACGTTTCTACCACACCGGCTGCGGTGCCCTGATCCTCCATCAAGTCCTCGTGGAAATGAGCATGGTGGTCATTCACATTCCCCTGAATATCCTCAATATCCACAGCGGTCACCGCGGTTTCTTTACACCGCGTGACTGTGCCGGTATTCATTTTACCTTCATCACAACCATGATGGTTACCAATTGGGCGCAGCTCGCCTTGGCTTTGAACCGCTTTGTGGCCACCTTGTACCCGCATAAATATCATCTGTGGGTAACGAAAATGGCGCTGGCCGCGCAGGTGGCAATTATTTGGTGTGTGGGACTGCTGCTGACGGCGCCTCAGCTTTTTGGTGTGGATGGCACGTATGGTCTAGATCAACCGTGGAATAACTGCGCCTTCCTGATGCGCAACGCAGGACCGTACACAAAAATTGGTGGAACGATGGGAGTGTACCTCCCGACGGCCCTCTTAATGGCACTGTATCTGACAATTTTCATTCGCTTGCAGTGCTTCTCGCGTCAAGTAGTGCAAAATAATCAGGTACGGTAGCACAGCTGGCTTCATTTGTAAAATCCTGGCCCCAAAATATTTTACAGTATGATTGATCCTTTAGAATTTCTTCCGTACTAGGACATAAGACGAAAACAAATTAAAAAGCAGCTCCTCATTTGTGTATTATATGGGTATTTGCGCCATATGAGCTAACAGTAAAGAAGTTTTGTAAGCGGTTTTTAAAACCAGTGTTAAACAGATCTGGGCTTTTGCGTGTTGCCCCTTAATTTGAGAAAGAATCCCTTACGGCTTGGTAAATTGTATACTGTCGCTGATTGGTTTAGGAAAAGCGTAAGAGACTGTTCAGCATAAAGTCAAGAAGCACGACATCGAGTTACGAACAAGCAAAAGACACCTGCAGTTTTATTATAAATCATGTTCTCCTAATTCCTAATGAGATCTGATGTTTAGGCAGGGAGATGTACTTCATCCAGAATGCATCTGAGCGCAGTGCATCAGAATTCAAAATTAAAAATTAAATTCAGTATTTTGACTGCGTAAGAATTCGAGTAAATTTCGTCAAGGAAAAATGTACATAAATTCAGGTGTGTGCCTTTGCAGATGCATTCTGAGCGGCCAGGACAATTTCAGCGACGAGTTAACATGGCGAAACTCTTGTGCGGCATATCGTTATGGTATAATACTTGTTATTATCCACAGAACATCCTGGGTTTATTACACACTGCCATATATGAGAAAAGTGTGACGGGACTTCAGCTCTGGCTGCGAACGGTATATCTATGCGGATACATTATGACACCGGTAAGACAAGAACGCTTAGTAATCGCACATAGGATCCCCAGGCTCCTACCGTACAGTACAGCACTGCTAGCTAACAAGGCGTAAGGGTTACATCATCCGTCCCTCGTTCAACGCAATCCTGTCTAATTTTAGGTATTTTTCTTCTCCTTGAACAAAGACTATCAAAATGGTCTGCTGGAGATAACGCGCTCAACGCATGCGTGAAGTTGCCGTGAACGTTGACTGCGGAAAGACCACGAGGAAGGGATATCCGACTGCATCCGCTCATCTATGGACGCGGAAGTCATACTGTAGCAATGCACTCAAGTTTTCGGACACGAATTTTGTAGTCTAACTTGATCGTATCGCTACAGTACATCGCTGGCATTTATTGACCCTATGAAGAGTACAAACCATGAATGTTGGCGAATTTATATGGCTCCACAATCTAGTCTGTATGTTCAATTTTCACTGGTCAAGCGAAAGCGCTCCCAGAAAAGTTTTTTTTGCATAAATGTACATAGTTGTAGCGTCATGATAAATTAATGTCAATGCCGGTACAACCTTTCAGAAGTGGCCGAATGGTCGACGCCAGTTGTGGTGGCTGAATGGCCGAATGGTTTCCCCGCTACGGGCTACTTTTGTTTTGGCGCATGTTGGAGATACAGTAATGCATAAAAACATTGCTGACAGGCGTTTGATATTCCAAATCAGCGCAATTTATGCATAAGTGACTTGCTTTATAATTGTCAGATTATATATTATGGTTGTTAATTAGCGCTTGTATTCTTGTCGTTTGAAGTGGCTGTAACCCATAAATATCAAACTTGGAGCGGAAGAATGGTTTCTGGTACATATTGTTTTGCATCTTCAGTCTTCGCGAGGTTTTGAAGAGTACGAGCGCAAAGAATAAAGGAAATATTTCTGGAAAATGTGTACGGTATTACAGTCGTAACGTGCAACGGAAGCGGCGGAATATTGACGAGAATACGTCAAAACCTTTCCCGGTGTCTGTCCTACATCAGCAATTAATAATTTCAATGAGCGCGGAAATTAAGGAAGCATTACAAGTTTACCAGTAGGGGAGTAAGCTGTTTGCGGCCTGCTGTCACAAACGTATTTTGAGAGCCAATCATGGGCACAATGCATGGTGTACCCCTGGCAGAAGAAATCGGGGGGGGAATAAAGTTGCTCGCTTGAGGATCAAAGCTCAGCCAAGTGGTGCTGCTGTGCTTGTATTCGGAGTTAACATGATCTATGAAATTCCAAGGATGGAATATCAAGTTGGAATTGTTGCTATTAATAAATGCAGTTACTCTGGAACAACATGCTGTTGTAAATTTGGAGCATGTTAAACGAACGTAGCGTCATGAATGTATGGCTAGGTTTTTGCAAGCCTAAGCGCTGATCTCCAGCGGTCCAGACAATGAATTCAAGAGAAGAAGCACCAGCCAACGGTATCCCATAGGCGCTTGACTGAACTTAAGAAGACTTGAAAAGAAATCATCGGTAAGTGATCAAGTTAAAGCTGAAGAAAATACAGTGTGACCGCGAAGCAGCATTCTTAATCTATTACAAAAAACTTCCGGGCATTTAGCAAAGCACAGTGACAGGACAAAGTTTTCGCAGTCCAAAATTATCAGCTGAAGCCTGAAGGTAATCCTACCGATATCTCTCCATAGAATTGCATCGAGCGCATTTCGAAAGGTATGTACCGATATATAACATATTAAATTTTACAGGTGATTAATGAATACAAAAATGTTAATCAGCCCAAACGTTAGTTACCTTATGCCCACGGATTTACCGTTAACAGATTTTCGGGTTCTGTCGATTGACGCACGTAATTATTGGCATATAGTCGTCGGGCTGTCGCCGTGTCGTTGACCTAATTGATCAGCGCCATGCCGGACATGGCGCAACAAAGAACTGGATATGGTATCGGTCTGTCTACGAATTTCTCAAAACCTTGCAGCTGAAACGTGCCGGAGACAGCTGCATCTACAATGTAAAGAAATCAAAGCTTCTTCAACCGGAAGCGCTCCTTCTGCAAATTCTCTTCATAAACCCAAACAGCGAAAACTTGAAAACAAAGTAATTATACCTAATGTTAACGGTAAATAATTGAGAACTAAGGCCCATTGCTTTGGTACCATCTTGTATCGCGATGAATGACCAAGCCAATCAGACGGAATCGAATTTACGCTCACCCATGCTCGTCTATACAATTTTACAGTTGCATTATTTAAAACGATATTTGCATTCCGGCACATATTATCGGATAAACACACGCCAGTGATTCTGTACTTTTACCGCTAAGCTCACCCCTTAAGCCAGCGCGGCATGACAAAACTCTTGTCGTAAATTGTAAACGTGTAGAACGCGCGTTTTTTCACAGCCTCGTTCTAGCAGATCAGCTTTATTCCAGGATGGAGGACGGTAAAAGTTTCGCGAACGGTAACTTCTCCAACCGGAACTGGAACAGCAATGCCGAGCCGCCTGTTTGGATAAAATACGAACGCGAAGTAACCGTTTGGTTTAGCACAACAATGATTATTGCCGGCCTTGGGACGATCCTCTTCATTCTCCTAATTATGGTCATCATCCGTGGTCGCTTCTACCGCACCGGTTGCGGAGCACTGATCCTGCATGAGATTCTCCTGGAAACGAGCGTCGTGGCTATTCACATTCCCTTGAATATCCTCAACATCCACAGCGGTCACCGCGGTTTCTTTACTCCGCGTGATTGTGCCGGCATCCATTTCCCCTTTATTACGACTTTGATGATCACCAACTGGGCGCAGTTCTCCCTGGCCCTCAACCGCTTCGTGGCCACCCTGTATCCCCATATGTACTGGCGATGGGTGACGAAAACAGCGATAGCCGCGCAGATAGCGGCTGTATGGGTCTTTGGGTTGGTGCTGACGGCGCCGCCGCTCTTTGGTGTGGTGGGCACGTATGGTCTGGACAAGACGTGGAATAACTGCGCGATCTTATTGCACACCGTGGGACCGTATCCGAAAATCGTTGGGACGCTGGGAGTGTACCTCCCTACCGGCCTCTTGATGGTACTTTACCTGATCATGTTTATTCGTCTGCAGTGCTGTTCTCCTCAAAGAGTGCAAAATAACCAGGTACGGTGGTAAATAACGAAATTGAAAAAGTTTCAAATACAACCGCGAAATTATCTCTAAGCGGAACCCGCGTTTCAGTTGCGTTGTGCTTACCGTACTTATTGAAAATTATCTCAAATTTACGAGCAGGACAATAAATTGAGCCTGTGATTCCCTGTTTTTTGATTATGCTTTGCGCAGCTGGACCTTACAATCTGCAGAATCCGACACAATTTGAATTTTGAAGGTACTTTAAAGCGCATGTTATTGATGTTCAGATAAGGCGCTTTAGTATCACTTTTTGATAACTGTATGCACACAGAGGCAAGTTTTAAGAGTAGGAGCAACTGGAGCAGAATGAACAGCAGAAAATTTCAGATCAAGCTCCAAACCAACAATAAGCAATAGTTCTGATTTCAAGTTGGCCTGATGTGGTCTATAAAGAGGGCATTTTAAGCACCGATACTCCACCGAAACCGCATCTAAGCTCAATGAAATGCGAATGACCTCTTATGAGACGTACTTGGACGTGCTTGTACTTGAACGTTGGAAGTTACCATTAATTGTTTTTATAGATGCGGTCTGATCGGCAAGGACAATTTGATCGGCGCGTCAAGATGGCCAAACTGTTATGCGGCATATCCTTATGGTACAATGCCTGCTACCATCCCCAAAATATTCTCAGTATTCTGCGCGTTCCCATGTACGAACAGAGCGTGGCGGGGCTTCAGCTATGGCTGCGGACGGTATATTTGTGTGGCTACGTTATGACACCGGTAAAGAAACTTACCGTAACCGCACAGTTTCATGCTGGTATCCATAAAAACTTGCATTAACGAACTGATAAAATGGTAACTCACATGCTGCCGCATGTCCGCATGTCTTGATCGATTTTAAAGTAACCGTTTTGCAATTTTAACCCACTTTAGATGTTTTTCTTCTCCTTGAACAAAGACTATCAGACTGGTCTGCTTGAGATAATCCGTTTACGCGTGCACGGACGCTAACGGCGGGAAGCCCAGTCGGAACGGATATCCGCTCCTCGAGGCTGCTGCTGCTCATGCAAAGGACCTAAGACGTTACTGGTGCATTGCTTGACATAATACAAAGGGAAAACTGCTGACAAATCAAACGATAAGAAATTTGGATACCTGCATTGAATCCTTTCTTCGTTAGACATCCCAACCGTTTCCTCGCACTGTTTCGTAACATGTATGCATGCAAGCCGGTGACACTGGAATTCTTTAGCGACAGTCAGCCTTTTACTAAAATTAATTTGGAATAGCGCCCAGCAGATGGAAGATATTTACAAGTCAACCAGATCTATCGCGTTTATCCCACCTTTTGCCAGCCGAATAGCGACCTGTTCTCTACGTCAACGCCGCGTATTTCACGAGACGATATAGTGGACGTGTTTTGAAGGTCAACAAATACTGGGCCAAAATTACTGTGACATGATAATGATACTCGGGCAAAATTACTGTGGCATAATCAACTAATACCGGCCGAAATTACAGTGATGTAATTAAGTACAACAGTTTCTTGCAATTATCCATGGCCACAGAGGCTCCTGTCGTCTAATCGTTTGGGTTGTCTTTCGATTAAAGAACAAGTGCGGTCAATACTGCCAACTACAATCAATTAGCCCAAAACTCTTACAACAGCAAAATCTGCAGCAAAATCTGCACCCAGATCTGCAAAATCTGCCCTGTCGTTTGATCGCGAAAGTTCAAAAAGTCACAGTGTCTTAATGTGGAGCACTGCGGCTGGTGGTGACCTTTTGCAGCTTCAGCATAAAAATATAAACTGGCAAACAACCAATTAATGTCAGACAAATTTAGGAAATAATAAACAAAGTCTGAAAAACCGGCCACGCCGGTATCCTTGAAGTCTCGTTACAGATTTATCTTCTTGATACGATACTTCGCTAGTGAACGCATTTAGACAAGGTAATCATTTCGGTCTTATTTTTTATTATTCTAGAAAACTAATTCTGGAGCATTTAAAAGTCCTGAGAAACGCCAACTGCAGCTAGGTACATTACACGTATAGAAGTACCTTGAGTCTGTGTCAAAAATATTCATCTTTTTATTTACTTGAGCGAGCTTTGAGCAGCACAGGTTAAGGTGACCTTGTTTGGCGCATGTCTTTCCAAACAAAAACGCACACCGCTCGCGGCAGCAGCTACGTCCCTAACTGCTGTCTTTGTACCGTTCCCATAAGTTCTGTATATCAAATGGTTTGCCTTTTTTCACTTCCCACACTTTTATTGGAAACTGACCCCATGGCACCTATAGATAGCTTAGTTAGCGCACCGTTCTCGCAGATCCGACACGAATGGAATTTCGTTAAGGCTCATTTCTAATCATCAAAATTTATAGAGGGGATAATCATGTTCCAGCCAATGCATCGGGACAGAAAAGCACTACCATGTCATTATTTTTAATTTTCAATTTTCAGGAATGATGTGTTTGCCATTCCTCCCTTTCCAGCATATCAGCACGTGCAGTGTATTCCAGGCCTATCGCGAAGCGTACTGACTTTGAAATAGGATTTTAAATACTGCAGCGTTGTGCCACCACGCAGTTGCCCCAATCACGGTATACCACTCGTCTGTCCCCAGTATAGCACAGAATAACATTAACAAGCGTTCTCACAGGGAATAACGGTGTAATCATTCTAAGAAAACCCGCTCAGGTTGACGATGCCGGGAGAAGAGAAAGCAGTTGGTGTACCTGCGTGACACAAGCTATTTTCTCTCTCTGTGCGCCATGGAGGGAACCCTCTTAATAATCCTAAAACAGACTGTATCCACAATCGCGGTATCGATCCATCAGGAGCGATCTGATGGCGCTTTTACCTGTGTGCTACCGTTCAGTTCTGGCTTTGCCTGTATTGACCGCGTGTTTTGCAACCCGGTGAAAGCGCTTGTAAAGTTATACTGCAGACACAATTTCCTGCTGAGTCTAAACAAAATTTATGGTGCAGCTCATTTACAAATTACAATATCATCGAAATTCAACGCGAATTTGCCGTTTTAATACAATCTTACGGATAGGACCGTCAAGAAACTTAATTGAAGTAATTTGTTTTATGTAAAAGCCATTGACGCTTACTGACATTTGTGTAAAAGGAGAATCTCGCTGGATCATTTGTGTAAAAGGAGAATTTCGCTGGATTTCTTCAAGGAATTAAAATCATTGTAGTTGGAAACGGAAAGATATTATATGCCTAAAATATAGAAATCGTATAAAAGCACAAAATATAAATATAAAAAAGTATCTTCAGTAGAGGTAATCATTTTTAATGAAGGGCTGAGTACGCGTATACATCTATTAAAGATTTTGCAACGCAGATTTTTCTTTGAAAGAATTATTATACTTTTTAAGTGTGATAATTTAAAGCTATTAAAACACAGTGTAAGAAAATGTTTAACCAAGATCTAGCACTACTCTTGCGTAGCGCTTTCGTAGTGCAGTGGCTAGAAGCTAGTCGTGAGAAGATTCGTCTGTGCATAAATTTGCACCATCTAAATAACAATAATTTGCAATAAGGGGTACCCTTTTTTACAACTACCTAGCCTCTTAAACCATCTAAACTGAAATTTGCATTCGATACATACTGTCCTTTTTTGGAAATAACTTCGGAATAACAATTAGTTAAGCAAAGCTTCTGCAAGCCAGTACATTTTTGTATCCTGGAAAATTCCTTCCCCACGGTGGAAAATATAAGGGCTTTACAGCGTGCCGGTGTGCAATATACACGCTGCACTTCGTATCGTATGATCAGGTGTGCAGTTAAGCCGCAAGCGCGCACAGAGCAGGCTGTTTTTAAAATTTTCCCCTTTCTCTCTGATTCCCAGCCGGCATCGTTGCCGTCGTCTCCTTCCCTGTGCTCCTTCCTGGCATTCAGGTGTACGGTGTGTGCACGCGCTGGTGGCTTCTCATTTTACCACATTTTTCATTTTGCCCTCGCCGCTGTTTAGTCAACAAAAACCCGTGTTAAGTGATTTTTTCTCCGTGTAACACTGACATCGAGAGCACCTTGTTAGCGGTTAGCCGCGCAGTTTATCCAACATACGCTGACCTTTACCGCCCGACCCATTGCTCAGGCACTGCGCTCCCGTTGATTAGACAATGGGGAATGGAGTGTCTGGTTATAATCGTTTTATCTATGTGGAAATTCATGGACGCACCGAAAAGGTATGATGGTACTCGAAATTGTAATTAACGCCCCACAAACTTGGTGTTTCTGCCTATATTATATAAAAATTTATTGAGGCAATGCAAATTAAGTAACCGAATTATTTGTCGTTCAAATCAAATAACCGTGTCTGTTTTGAATACGGTTGTTATACCTGAGTTGTGCAAATTTGATCACAGATCTGGTACCAAAAATTGTATGTGATGCGTCAGAAAAATATTTCTAAAGAAGTGCCGATACCGAAATAATTTTAGGCGGTACTAAAATTTGTATCATATTACATAAATTTTGTAGACAAGGGCTAATAAGAACCTGTGTAGGAAATAAGAATTCCTGTGTAGCAAATAAGAATCAGCTGATCATTGATTTTCATACAGTACAGTACTCGTATTAGGATGTTTAAAGGTAAGACAAAGTATAAAATAATACTGAATAGTTCACGGTGCAAGCTATATTTGTACACATAGCATTATGTCGGTACTTGCGGTAAATGTTAAAATATCTGTTATTGTAAACGAGTAATAAAATCGGGGAGGCAATGATTATTTAGTACTGCCGCTCAGTCATCGGCAGATTCCGCAGTGTACCGTATATATAGCACCTATCCACCGCAATCAACATGATTTGCCGAATCAAATATTTATATAAGGCTATTTTGGCAGCGTTGTGGTTATCGATAGGTATACGCAGACGATCGATATGTACCCTTCTCTCTTCCACTAACATTAAATATTTGCGCTGCCGAAACAGATATTCTCTTGATAAAATTCAACATCCACGCGGTATACCTGGATAACAATGGCTAGACACCATCGAATTAAATCTTAATTATGTACTCGCATTACACAAAGCGCATTGAAGGACTAAATACTCGTATATAATTAAGTACGAGTATGGTAAATAGTAAATGCTTGAAGAATGTGAGTATAAATGATAAAAAAATGCGTTGTTTTATTTTAATCTGCGAAACACCTAGAAAGTGTACGTTCGACAATACGAAAACAAAAATTATTCCAATGCTACTAAGCTTCTCGCAAATCCAGGATACGTTTGACGTCGGTCAAAAGTAAAAATACCGGTAATGCCGGCGTTCTTTCCCCAACTAATTTCAGCCGGATAATTTTAAAGGCAGGCGCATTGTAGAATAACGCCTGCGCTTTGCGTAGCCAGCGTAGTCCAACATTTTCCACGATCCGGTTTCGCAGCGGGGAGTCCGGCCTAATTCTGGAGTCGCTTAGGTATATCTAAAAAAGGGTACTGCGTATATGCCCGCTAATTATACCGTATACGGATGATGCGCGTCGCTCCCCTCTCGCGCTAATCAGCCCCATACATACACCGTTACGAAGGCGTCTAATATTTTAATCATGCGCTTCACATATTCCGCATCCTCCGGTATCAAAAAGCGGTTCGCGGAACCCCACGTATTATTCACGATATCGTGTAACCATTGCGCTGTGCACCGGGAATCTGTTAGCATTATTTATTTGTCCTGACATTCAGTCATGCAGAGCGTGATATATTCATTTGCGCCAGCGATTAAATTTCTGTATGTTGCAGATCCTTTTCAGCCGGCATAGTTCATCGCGGGACATCCAAGAAGTCATAGCGCTGGCCGCCGGTGCATCCAGGTGAGTGGGCGGCGGCGCTGTTACTGCCGCGATAAATTGCCGTTGTCGTAGCCCCGTATACGCATCAATCTTCCCCCGGTCATTGTGTGCGTGTCCCACCAACACTCTTCCCTTACACACAGCTTTGATTTGCCTTCTCCATTCTCTGTGTAATTCATCCGTGGGGTCAGCGTGTGTATTCAAGGCAATTGTGGGCAATGTTTGTTGAGCACTCCATTCCGTTGGAGTGTGAGCATTTCCGGTTGTGTTGTGCCTTGTGTGTTTCGATGTCTAAACGCTGAGAGAGAACAGTGTACCTTCGGCACGAAGCTCGGTGTAGAGCAGCCGGGGCGATTATACGGTTAATGAAGGAGGAGTGCCGGTATAGCTTTGAGCGCGCACACGCGCCACAGGCTGGTGTGTGTGCGCGCGGTCCCGTCATTAGGAGGGATAACGCCGGACGGAAAGGAAGTGCTTAATGTCAGGCTCGGTGTAATTAAGCCGTGCGCGTGCACTGGTTAACGTAACGCCCGGCTCAGGTCGCAAAATATCCGCTAATGATTTTTCAACAGAAATTTCTACATAACCGGCAAAAATTTAAGTGCTATGCGTGATCGATTCAATTTAATAACATGTATTTCCATACCAAGGCTATGATTTTACCAAAAATTCAATTTTGCTAAATTGTATTTTAAAATAATTTCGTCTGTTTCCGATCAATTTAGGTTCAGAAATTCTTAGAACATCGGCTGCAATGCTCCTTCGGTTTCTCACGCAGTGAGGAAAAAATATCCGCAATGAATGGAAATACTTAATTAAGTACTCGTGTATGAATTTGGCCGAAATATATTTTAATATAATTTCGCTCATTTTCGCTAAACTTGAAATCAGAAGTTCTTGGAATATCGACCAACACGCGAAATTAAAGGCTGTGCACACAATGAATAAAAATACCCTCGTTGATTAAATTAGTTGAATTACCGTATGAATTTCGCTAAAATACAGTTTAATATAATTTCACCCACTTCCGGCTAATCTATGTTCAGAAATTCTTAGAACATTGGCCGATGCTCCACCGGCTGTTCATAAACAGTAAAGAAAAAAGACAACTGCCCAGATAGAATTCACGTGCATTCAATAAGCGCTGGTATGCTTGTATTATTAATTTAGCAGTCCGGTAGAATTGACGCACGATGAGAACATAAGCCGGTGTAATGAAATATTCACGCTCCCGGCCAACTAGCGCTTCTGATTACCGGGTAGCGGAGGGTTAATTGATATTCAAATGCCACTGGAATTATTATTGGCGGTAACGCCGGTAAGAAGCTGAAACTTCAGCTGAAATGCAATATATAATCAATGCGGCTTACATCAGCGGCACATAAAAGCTGCATTATATGGCGCATACTCCCCGTAAAAACCAGATCCCCTGCTGATCATCTCATACACTCACCCGAGAACACTTTCTCACTACCATGAGACATCCATGCAGTCGACCGTAAAAATAGTTTTAAGAAGTTGACGAAGTATCGCGAAGTAGATAACGGTCGGGGCGGTGATACGAGTAGTTGTTTATGCGGCTTACGTGGAGCCCTGTACAAAGAGCTTGGCGAGCGGCACGCCGAATTACGCATGGCTAATCAATCCGTCTAACCCAGTGTGTGTGTTGTTTGTTTGTTGACGAACCGTACAGCTGGACGGGGGTGATGCTGAAGGATAAAAACGGCGGATTAATCGCCATTACGCCCAATATTATGACCAACACGACCGATACGCCTTATAAGGTGCAAGTTGTGGACCAAAGAGCTCGACAAGGCATTACAGGTATTTTTCTTCCAGGTTGAATTTATCGAAATCGCAACAACGTTAAGTAATATCTTTGCAATTATCCGCCTGGTTTTCATTATTTCTTATTTTTTCCAGTAACGTAGCTACGTTTATATTTTAAGCGTGGGACAACTGTGTGATTTCTTTGCCGTCTTTCATTACTTTGGTTGAATTGCATAAGTTGTGAAAATCAGTTTATGTAAGCCGGTAAATAAAAATGTTTCGATGTGGCATCTTTAATTTATGATTGCAGTGCTTATGCTTATGCAAGAGATTTGAATTCCAAATTAATGCGGTTTTGATTTAGTCATGGGTAAAATACAGTAGTCAGTGCGCTGTTTCGTCTCATCAGTTATGTTTCCTGCGATTTATGGACGATCTACTGACTGTGAATTTTTTTTAGATAATTCGGAAATGTTGCATACCGTTATATCACAAGTTGCGGAACAGTTTAATCGGTAAGTTCGTCACGCTGCCTCATAAAAAAGTATATCGTATTTCAACGAGTGCTATAAACTGCACACCTACGCAGTATCATGGATAATTGGTTTTTTTAGTGTTTTCAAAACGGAAGAGGTCAAGGAAGAGATCTCCAAACGGATTAACGCGCTGGAAAAACGTATGGAAAGTATGGAGGCCAACGATTGACCCCCTTTAAAAATTAGTACCGTAGTTATAGCCGTACTCGATGCAGGTTAAAATAATTTTTAAAAAATTGTTCGATTTTCCTATTATCTGTAAATTCATTAATTAATAATGAAAGGATCAGGTCATCTCTTAATTTTTTTTGTTTTTTTACAATAAGCCAGCGCTGATAGGCACTAACCAAAATAATTTAAACATAAGTATTTCTTTTAAATTAAAATTAATGTGAACACTTAAAAATTAGTATATTATTTTTCATAGTATATTTCTCGCTTGCATTATCTTTTAACTTTCCGTACTTATTCTACGAAAACTTATTGGCCGTACAGGTGTAAAAATTCACGATTTGTAATAAAAAAAACGGGTGTAGGAGAAGGCTTAAAGGTGGTGGAGATCGAGCGATGTCGGAAGGACATTCACGATCTACGCAATCAGCTGCTGGATAATAAAAATCATCATCACGCGCACCACGATCATCTCCACCGTAGCAGCACATCGGGGTATGTTATTACGAGTTACTAGTCTATGTACCGTGGTATTTAACGGTCGCCACATCGGGGTACGTTGTTTGATACGCTGGTCTATACCGGTGCTTAATGTTATACGTATACAAGGCATCCACACATATCAGCGCTTCCCTGTCGGCAGTCAGCCGGTAATCGCGTACACCGTAAACGGGTCACTGCACCTCTACAGCATCGAAATCATTAGCCGCGTACTGCGTCACCACTGACGCGCACTCGCCTGAAACCGCTGCAGAGCGTTGATTAACCAGAAAAAGGATTAATCAGACTAATCGGAAACTCCAGTGCTTCGGTAAAATAAAACAAGAAAACTTTTCGAAAAACTTTCTTTAGGTTTTAGCTGATAATACTTATTATTTTTAACATGTAATATGATATGCCAGATTAATTAGTCAGAACCAGAATAGCTTTTCCGGGATATTTTAGGCGCGTTTTCTCCCAGTTTCGTGTGCAATGATCTCATTGTTTGGACTCTTGGGATCTCTGTATAAGACAAGGAAACTTTTAAAGAAATTTTAAGCTTCTTCTAATGTTTATTTCAGTCAACACTGCAATATGATCTGCCGGCTTAATTATAAAAGGCCAAAACAAAAATAGCCTTTCCTGGATATTTTAGGCGTGTTTTTCCTTGTTTCGTGTTTATTAATCCCGGTTGGGTGGGCATTTCTCGCTGCCGGACGGGGAAATATTTGCGATAAACAAGTAAATATTATGCCGGTTTATTTATACATGAACTTAGCGTGCCTGCAGCGGCCGAGATTTGTCACGAGCAACCCAACAGTTAACTCAATGCGTCAACTGTCGCCCGGTGCGGCCACACGTGCATAGTCCGCGCATGTGACGTCACCGCGCCGCCGAATCTCCGGGTGCATGCTTCGTGCGCATGTGCACCGGACCGGCCGACATTCTGCTTCTGTGCGTCAGCAAACCAGGGACACGGGCGCCAGCATTTGTTAAATACAACGCCACGATAAGTTGTCGTAACCATATTACCCTTCTCGTCTAATTTTGGGCTGGGAAACGGATATTAGGGTCCGTTAACCGGGACATCGGAGAACACGGTCGGGGTTATTTTAATGAATGTCACCCGTCGGGAAGCGGTATGGTGCGGAATTTTAGAGGGGGGGAAAAGTCGGATGTTCCAGGGTTTTTAATTACCGGGAAACGACTATGCTTTAAAATAGCGTTTCATTGCCTTTATCTAAAAATAAAATATATCATTAATATAAAATTATAACTGATAATTATTCATGCACTAAATTCTGATGTCTCACGTATACGAGACAGTGGAAAGATGCCGGCGTTGAGACAAAAATGTTTTCGCTTCCATTCTTTGTGGACAGCGGTTGTCTAATGTATACGGAGTTTTGCCCGATTTCAATGCTGTGTTTTTGCAGTTCATTAAGCGATGATCGGAAGATCGGGTTCATTCAGGACATGCCAACCTACCCCAAGGTATGCTTATAACACCGCCCGGGCGTATCCGGTCGTGGTAGACGGGATAAAAGCTCTCTCCCTCTCCTTCTCTCTTACCGCACACATTTCTCTCAATTCTCGCTTGACGGATCATTACAGTACATCCTTTCTCGTGAGACCATCGACTACCTGAAAAAGCCCACCTTCGACATCTGGCACTGGGAGCCTAATGAAGTAAGTCCCGTGGTAAACATCCGGCGGTGTCTCTGTGAAAGACAAGATGACATACCACTCCACCCTTTTCTCGTCCACGGTTATAACGTATCCTTTCGGCGTAGATGTTGAGTCTGCTGGAGCACATGTACCATGAGCTGGGATTGGTCCACGAATTCAACATGAACCCCATCACGTTGAAACGCTGGCTGGTACGTCTGACTAACAAATTATTGGTTTTAAGCGGCTTAATGTTGTTGATCGGTTACCGGCTAATGGATCAACAACATTAGCCGGTACCCGAGTATCCAGTATTATTTGAGCGATCACATGACATGCATTAAACCGGCTGGTAAACATCATCAAAGTGATCTTTCGACTTTTGTATTGCGCGACTTTGCGTCACGTGCAATGGCACTGATACACCGAATTGATGGAACAGTTTTCAATTAACCGCGGTGTGATGTATATCCGCCGGGTGAAATTATGTTTACATGTTCATCGTCACGTCGCTGGTATTGATTACAATTTCAACCTAAAAACTCGGCCGATACATGTGATTTTTTGTTCAGTTTATTGCCAATGATTTTAGAAAAACGTAATGCAGGGTTAATAGTAAAAACCCTTGACTGAGTACGTGCATTTCGTGCCAGCGCAGATTCCGTGTAGGCACGGCATAAAAAGGTTTTTTTACGGATGCCAAGAACATCCATTAATTCCATTTAGATTCATAAAATGTTGTGCGGATGCCGATTCCCCCGACGTCATTTCGGCTATAGAGCACGCATACCGGTATTTATAGCTAATAACGTATTATGATTGCAGCTGATGGTGCAATCCAACTACCGTAACAATCCATTCCATAATTTCCGCCACTGCTTCTGCGTGACACAGATGATGTACGGTATGATCCATCTGTGCCGTCTGCAGAATAAGATGAGCCGTTTCGATCTGGGATTACTGATTACGGCCTGCGTCTGTCATGACCTTGATCATCCCGGCTATAATAATGCGTGAGTACAGAAGCACACTGTGTAGGCGAACTGTACAGGGAGCGCGGTAATTACGCGGACAACATGCGGGTTCCCGGAAAAGCACTCTCTTTTTCTCCCTCTTTCGCGCTCCGCTCGCTGAGTATAATTATCTCTGCTTAAGCCATGCTGCTGCGTGACATGACATTTGCTTTTAATTCTTGTGGTAACAAGGTTGTGCGTGTGATGTACAGGTACCAGATTAATGCCCGCACCGAGCTGGCCATCCGCTACAATGATCAGTCGCCATTGGAGAATCATCATGCGGCCGTCTGCTTTCAGATCCTCTCACAGCCGGAATGCAATATCTTCTCCAATGTCTCCGAGGAGATGTTTATTAAAATCCGGGTGGGCATTATTTCCCTTATACTGGCCACTGATATGGCGCGTCATGCCGAGATCCTCGATAAGTTCAAGCAGAATATCGACCACTTTGATTGGACAAATGAAGACCACATAACGTCGGTAAGAAAACGTTAAAAATAGATTCTTTTCAATGCCATCTTTCAATTTGCAATACTCTTCATCCGCAATCCATGACCTTGGCTGACGCTAATGATTTCGGTTCTTTTCCAATGTTTCAATAATTTTAAAGGGTGTAAGACATGCATTAGCCATTGCCAAATTAAAATGCTTTATCCATTTATACTGGTGATTCAATTATTCAATTGCATAAAACTGTTTCTTCTGTGTATAGCGGCGATTAAAATGCCGGTAGTATCAGCTGGTCAAGTTGCAATATCTATCGCAGATATTGTCATAAAGCAACGTTTTCTTGGAATTAATAAGGAATAAAGATATGGTCCAATAAAATAATTTTAAACGTTTTGATTATAGCTAAAGATGATCCTAATAAAATGCTGCGATATCTCCAACGAGGTCCGCCCCATGGACGTCTCCGATCCCTGGCTGGATCTGCTCCTGGAAGAGTACTTTAATCAATCCGACCGGGAGAAAGCCGAAGGTCTTCCTGTCGCGCCTTTCATGGACCGGGAGAAAGTGACAAAACCCACAGCTCAAATCGGTTTCATCAAGTTCGTCCTCATTCCGCTCTTCGACTCGGTAGCGAAACTCTTTCCCCAAGCCGATGCGGCCCTCTGTGAATCGCTTCGTCAAGCGCAGCACCGCTACGAAAAGATGAAAGTCGAAGAGGACACAAGGGTATGTGTGACCTTATCGACAATGTACCGCTAAGTTCCGAGGCAGTTATAAGCTGCAATTTCTTAGCAGCTCACGTTTGCTGTATTTGCTGCAGACTGCTGCAACGGAAGCGAATTAAATTTAATGCTTTCGATTTTTTGTTGCAGAAAGCCTTACTGCAGGAAAGAAAAGCTTCGACAACAGGCGCTTGAATCCGATAGCGCTCTGATAAACAGTAACTCTTCCAGAAACCCCGACAAGATACGCCAGCATATATCCATGAATACACTGGTTTTATTCGACATACTGCTACGCTGTACATTAAAGGCACACTGTGGTGTGCAGTGCAGAGACGCCGGCATCGGCATATTTTATCAAAGATGTTAGAATGCCGCTTAGCGGAGTTATTCGTTGTACGTTATCAAAAGCATTTCACCTAGTTGTATTCTTAGCACAATTACTATGTGGCCGCAGTCAAAGTAAAAATAAATAGAAGAAATTATTTTGTGTGTCGCCTATGCCAAATTCTCTCATTTGTAAAGAAAGGGCATTAGCAATGGCAGGTACAGTATCATGTTAGTTGTTTTTTTGTCATCTGCTCTAGTTTGCATCAGTATAAACTTTTTGTTCTAAAATTTTAAACTTGAAAGTTGTACTTATATCACTGCAGTTATAAAAACTATATATATACGTATATGGTTATATTAATTACTATCTAAAAATAATAGGCGTGTAACGGGTCATTAAACTAGACCGCGTCTCTGCTTTTGGCTAAACACGTTGCTTGATATTCAGCAAAACGTTGCTTCAACAACAGCCGAAGAATTCACTCAGTACGCAACCGACGTAAAGAAAGCACAGGATTACTGACCAGCATTAATATTAATAGCATTAAAAGAATGGATCCGTGACCTTAGAGGCCGAGGCGGTATCTTGCAAGTGTCTCATCATAATGTCGTCGCTCGGGTAGCGCCACAAATATCGGTATTTATCGGTATCCATATCCGGGTACGAAAGCGTGAAAACGAACTGTGTGACCGTTTGGCTGAAAAAAAAACAGAAACGTTGGGTTAGAAACCACTAAGCGGCCTTCCTGCGAAAGCATCAAGGTTTCGTCTGTTGTTTTTAGAAAGAAGTCGGATTTTTCACTACTAGTCAGATTCCCATGTTAAAAATTATTGGTCTACGTATCTGCAAATCGAATAGCTTTAGTTCATGATACTAGGCAGCTTGTATGCTAATCGCAGCATCAGTGGTTAACTACGTTAATTGTGAAATTCGTCAGAAAACTATAGATTTTGGTGAAAGGATTTATAAACTGTAAAGGATTTGCCTACCCTTTGAGTGTCTGGTGTTTATCAGAGCGACCAGTTAGTCCAACCGTCAGACTTGCACCGGGCAGTGTTAAAGGATTGGCTTCGGCAAACGCATCACCGACCGCGCGAAGAACCAGATCAGAATCCTGTCGAGCGTAAAGTTTGGTACAGAAATCCTAACCGTGACAACATTCTACGAATTGTACAGTGATACCACGGAACCAACTAGATAAATACAACGCACTTTGGCAGAATGGCAGCAGGCAGACAATAAACTGTGTACAAAGCTGTTTAAAAACCTTGCACAAATGAGCTGTAGTTAAATAATGAAGTGACGGACCGTTTTTAGTTCTATGAAAATTTGGTTTCTTCTCTCTGTTTTTGAGAGCAGGCCATACATGTGGATGCGGTTATGTTCAGTCAGTCAATGTAGCTCGTATTTTTTTTATAATGTTCTTTTCACGATTTACTGGTGTAAGGTACTTTAGGACTCACCAGATCCGATCGTTGAGTGAAACGCCCACTGTTGTGATTATACACAACCGACACTGTGAATGTTCTGGGCAGAAGACAAGCGCATAACCGATCCGCGTGAGTTGGATTAAAAGTGCAGTTTACCGGCCCGGAATCCGACGAATTAAACGCCTCTCGGCTGAACTGGACGCCTCGGTACTCGTAACGACCTATACGCTCCGGACTCGACTCACGATATTCGCGGAACATTCTTTGTAAAAGCTCCTGATACAGCTCCTCACCCCGCTGTGACTTGGAAGGTACGGGATACAGGTTCGGTCTTTGTTTTACACTAAAGAAATTCACGGTCTTTCCGCTGAAATGCTCATCTAGAGAGATCCAGACGATGACATCAGAAACTGAAACTAAAGCAATACGCGCCGATTAGTGCAAAATACACACCATATTGCGCTTTGCCCGTGGCACAATAATTGGGACCGGCGTGAAGGTCCTCACAGTCACCTTCTGACGCCAGTCCCGTGTTAAGTACTTCCTGGCCTCGCTGCGCAGGTTTAAAGGCCCGTCAACTGCGTCAAGTAATGCGTTGCTCGAACATCTCCGCTAACAGCAACAAGAAACAACGGCAGAAACTCACAGACAGCGAGCTGGTGTATCATATCTGGAATGGTCAGTAGCGACTGCATGCTGATGGGCGGATTTGTGTACAGGCGGAAAGAAGCATCCGGATGGAATATCATCCTGCAGCAGTAGGCATCAATTACATAATACCTGACCACACCGTTTGTCCCGCGTTTCACTACCGGCACATGATCAGCACGAAAGGCTTATATACTGTACAAAGAAGTCTGTACTTACACATATACTGTACAAAGAATTCTGTACTTACACATCAGGATTATCCGCTGTGAGTTTATCCGCAATCAACTGAAGAGGAATTTTCCATAAATTGTGCATCCTGCTGCTCGGCACGTTGGTAAACGACAGAGAGAAATCAAAGCGGACAGCATGGCCACTAATTGATAACAAGTGTAACACCACCCGGAAAGTGAGACACAAACGCACTCAAGAAATAAACAGACTGCAAAAGTCCGCGCGCAGTAATAATCATACTTCAAGTAGTGATATGGCCAGTGACCATGCTACTGTGGGGTAATTTATTATATTACCGTATTTTTCGAATTAGAAACCGTGGGCTATCGAAAATGCCCTGGTAGAGGCTTATATCGCAGAGGAGCTTACATTGTGTTTGTGAAGGAGACTTATCTTTTCGAAATCCTGAACTAGCGTTATTGCTATACACCGTATCTACCGGGATCGAGGCTTCTAATACGAAGGAGGCTACTAATTTTGAACTAAGCAAGGGGTGGAGGGTTATAAAATAGAGGAGGCTTTAAATTCAAAAAAAAGGTATATATGTAACTTCTCCATTGGCCACGTTTACCTAACAGGGCCTGTTGAATACGCAACGGTAGCGTAGCGTGCCGTGCTGCGTTTACCTTAAGGGAAGTGAGCCAGTGTATAGCACTGAATCCTCGTGCATAACCGCAAAATTTTCGCTTCAGGTATTCGCCAACATTTTTTTTGCGATGTTGTAGACATTGTAGCGAAATGATATCTTCACATCGGCGTGAAAACCGTTTATGCAAACAGTGTCAGTTTGGAAAGTTGCGGTTAACATAAGATTACAAGATGATCAACCACAATTAAGTGCAGGGTTCTCTGATTGAGTTTTCTGGGATGGTTGCACTGCGCACCAACCGTGTGCTTATGACTGTTTCTTTCCAGATTTTACGAACAAACGCCAGTACCTATGAAAACGCTTCGTTATACCGACCGCCGTTCCGCTGCTTGTTTCTTAAACTCTTTACCCGTCTATAATTTTTGAGATTTATTTTCAAATTTAAAAGAATCGTTGGGCCCTATGTAATCGCAATACAAAGGCGGAGAATTTTGTTTGCTTACTAATTCCTTCAGCGGATGCTGGCATGCAGCGCGCAAAAACGGTTTTCCGGCATATGCAAGCAAATTTGATGGAGGCGCGCGAAAAGGAAATGCGCGTGTACACGAATATACGAATTCACGTGTATACAGGAATTCTGTACGTACTGCGCACCGGCAGACTTTCCTTAGACTAGTGTACTTGATATCAGCTATCCTTACCTTAGGGTATTTTTTTCCGGACCGTCTCGGTCGGCATGCATCCTATGTGTAAGTGGAACGTTGAAACTAGACCCTACTGTGGTGCGGAAAATTGGCTGATGTTTTGAGAGAGTAACACTGAAGCGTGCGTTATCGATCGTCAACGGATTGACTTCAGCAAACGCGGCTTTTACAATTTCCTCGATCCTCGCATTCGACTATAAATGAAATACTGAAAAAATATATTAAACCTCGAAATTATCCGTTGGTGATTTTGGTGAACCAGTCTTACCGGCAACTCAGTTTGGCCAGCCAGGAGATATATAGTGAAATTTTCTTGTAACGCTTGTAGTGGACAGTCGTAAATCTCTCCGGACGCACGATAGCTTATCCGGCCATCTTGGCAATCTTTTAGAAAATCACCTGATAGATACCGCGCCGCTAACGGAATAGGTTGTCGGCTCAAAGTAACGTATTTCCGCGCGTAGAGATCAGCGTCCTGATAGCAGTCCACTTTAGTCTGCAGTCCTTCGAGATGCGCGTAAATCTGCTCGGCGTAGAACAAGCTGGGATTTAGTGGAAAGGACGTCACACCATCGACTTCCAGTACGACAAAAAAGTTAACAACAACGCTGTTATTCAAGTCGGGATTCCAGATGATGACATTTACTAACTGATCCTCTCGAACTGAAAAATATTTTTTTTTAAATTTTAGTTTCGCATGTACGGACTTACTTATGCCGTAAATAAAACTGAGTGCAAACTAAGCCATTAATACGTGAAAGGTAGACCATTTTTACGCTGCGCGGTGCGCAGCTAGCGGCAGCTTCCTTTTTAAGAACGTTTTAATTAGATTCATTAATATTTACGGAAACGTTTAACCTTACCGTTTGTTGGTCATCATTATTTCTCATAATTAAAAGAACAAATTACAATTTTAAATTAATTTTTAAATGGATAAACTTTTAATATATAATTCAAAGCCAATTTAAAATAAGAAAAATTGGAATCGTTATTTGATTTAACGATCTGTTTAAGAAAATTTCTTGAGACAGGACTATCGAATAATGAACCGGCATCGAAGATTTGATTTGGTTTTTTATTTTAGTGCATCTGGATTCTGGAATAGTTTCCTTATGTGCACTACGGTTTCATCTTGCCGGACCTGATGCAGATGTTGCTTCAGCGCAGTTGTAAGCGCCCATTTGCGTTTTTGTGCTGCGAGGTGGGCTGTTTCATTGCAGGTATGCTTTGCTTACTGGTTTCTGCACGAGGCCGCTCTGCCAAATCTGGTACGGATTTGTAAATGTCATGCTCACATGTTTGGTTACTGAGTTACCTAATTTCTTGCTTAGTTGCTCGGCTATATCGGCTTCAATCTGCGGAAGTGACTGGAAATTAACCGGCGCCGATGTGTACATGCGGAACGAGAATCCTGGCTGGAGGTAATAATTGAACGAGCGATTCGTTTTATAACGTTGGTAAATTTCTGGGTGTGGTATACGCTCTAGTTGGCTGTGTTTAGGCTCCAATTGTGAGCGCCAATAAGTATTCACTTTACCATTGGTTGTTGGCTGGTAGTAAAGGAGGGTCAAATCACCCCTGAATGCGAAACACAATGATCAACAAAGTTTTTGAGGTCACCCAAATCTGTTCGCTTACTGTGAATATGACCCGTTGGTGCTGTTAGAAATGAGCACGTGGTGAATCGGAGTTCCGATCAGCACATCCAGTTTCCCAGCGGTTTCACAGGGTGGTTGCATGGCATCCCGCGAGCTTTCTAATTCGGTTAATAATTCGTTTCGTAGCTGCGATACATTCAGGCTTTGAGGATGACCTTTGAAGATCATGTAGCTTGCGTAAAAAAGCTCTTTATCGTATACTTCTACGCCTTTCTCTTTCAGTCGTATGGCGAAGTCGGTTTCTGAAGGATGCGGAATACGCTTTATTACGCGTTCGCTACCATCGGTGGGCGGGATTTGAGATAGCTTTTCCATTTCGTCGAGATCAGAGATTGTCACAATATAGACGATGCGAGAAATGGGAGATCTATGATTCATTAAAATATGACGCTATCGTATAGTTCTATCTGTCTAGATTCTAGAAAAACGCAGCAAAAAGTATTGAATGATTAAAACTCACCCAAAAGTAGTCAGCGTGTCGCCTTCGTTCAAATGCCAAAAAATCCGAATAATCATGGTGTCGCGCCGGATTTTGTGCTCCGTTGCATAAGCATCTGCAAATGCGGCAATCTCCATACCATATCGTCTTTAGTTTACTATGAAACTCTGAATTTTTCTGTCATTCGTTTTTTGAACTGGCTCAAATCTGACAAATCAATTAAAATTATTGTGTGTTCCGTACCAAATTGAATTTGCCAGGCATACTCCAGTGCTGATTCCAGTTCGCTGTTCGAATGATTATTGGACACGACCGTTACATCATGCCAGCCGAAGCTTGCCGGTAGTTTTAAGAGGCTCTCGAACTCCGTGAGTTTGCCCATTTGTGGTTCGTGGAGCGGAGCAATATTCTGAGCCAGCACGTAAAAGCGAATGTAGCCCATGACTTTACCATACTCCAAAAAGGACCGAAGACGCTCCTGCTGGTCCTTGGTAACATTTCCTTCCGTACACAGGCTGGCTGTTACAACGGTTTCATTGAATCCTACAAAATACAATTATATGAATCTGTATTAAGATGCGAAAGAAGCGTTAATTCAGGATACCGGTAGTTTCGAAACCGGAGCTGTTTTTGATTGAGGCCGGCAGTTGGTTCAGTGTTTGCACATGGCTTTGTACAGGCGCAAATATCCAGCAAAACATTAAAAATGCCACCGCTAACAGTGCTGGTGTCTCCATTATCCAACAACCGGCTGGTAATTTACTTCTGAACTAAAACATTACTGCATTTGTCTGACGTGAGAGGAGTGCATATACTGTACCCGCACGAGTTTAAGGGACAGTAAATTTCCCTGGACCGCCCGCACAAGACTCGGTTTCTTTGATGTCAAAGAGGCCGACGCTATTGCGGGCGGTCTGGGGCAATTTTCTGTTCCTTAAACTCGCGCGGGTACGGTACCGGCTTTCGTTATACTGTAATACTAGAGAAATAATAATAATGCTGCAAATGGTGTATTTAACACTGTCCCTATCTGTAGCTATAAATAAATGCATTTGCGCTCACCAATCGGGCAGAGCACGTTTTCCGTTCAAATTCTTGAATTTGCGGTTATCTGCGAAACAATCTCGCAATAAGGAGTGCAACATTTATCGAAACCCTGGGAAATCGGCAAAGTAGGTGAGTGTATGAAAAAATGTTGTAAGGACATTTGTACAAATAGTACAGCTGTACAACTCAACTTGAAATCCGTGTGTTATTATATTATTACACTGACCTTTGTTCTCGCCTCACTATCGCTTTGATCAATCGGTATTAAACGTAGTCCTTCAAAATTCATTTATGTACCCGTACAATGGCACTGAAGTACATGAAGTTGTGAGCAGTAAGATTTCTGCAGTTTCATACATCCCCGGTAGGTCAGCAATACTACAGTACAAACTGCTATACTAAGACTGAAAAAACAACCAAAATCTTCGCCTCTATCAAGTTTGTTCCTCCCTGGTAAAGTGCCCCAAAACTGCTGCCGCATGCAGGTTACAAGCATGTGCGGGGTTGTATTGTACTGCGAGAGCATAAAGGTGCTACTCCCACTCTGTCTCCCACAACCGTATAATGCTATGCACATGGGTGGATATGCAGTAACACCCCAATTTTGAAATCCAGCGTATGGTCAACGCTTGCTCGTGCTTAACAGGCATGTAGGCTGTAGAAACTTGCCAAACACAAATGACATTTTTGTTTTAATCCAGCCACTAAAAAGTAGAAACTAAAACATCCGACGGTCACCCACTGATACCACGTCGCAATTTGTTGTCTCCGCCATTTGCACCATTCGAATTTGACCGGTTTCATTCCCCAGTTTCCTTCAGTTGCAAGATGAACGTGCCGTAGGAGAATAGCACCCCCAACCACCCCCAAGGGATCAACCGTTCTTAAGTCTTATCCCGATTGAAACATTTAAGGAAGGGCATAATGTTTACCGTGCCGATGAAAGTGCGGTTAACTAGGACGACACCGGCTTAAAAAAACCCCGTGGGTTGTGGGTCACGCGGTAGAGATGTCCGAGCAGTCCCTGACGTCTGTCTTGGTCAATTAGCCGTCGATACTCTCCTCATGATCGATTAGTCAGTGCATCTCGTGAGAAATAAACGTCTACGATATAATACTTTACTCGTACACGCTCCAGCAAATGGATTTTGCATTCGCTGTTGGCTGACACGTAAAATTAATAACACTAGACTAGATAGAGTGGATAGAATGAAGCAACCTACAACGGACACGTTCCCGTTACCGTTAAGGAACGCTTCTCTTGCACAAGGCGACCTACCTGTCTATGCACATTAATCATAGATTCATAGCCAATGCATGCAACAGCACCAGCATAAGAGTAAGAAGAGGACGCTCTGGAGTTGTGTTCCCGTTTCCAGAACGCGGTTATCATTACCAGCCGTATTACTGATCACCCACAAATTTCATGTAACCACAATTTCCACATAATGATTTGCAAGTAGAGTAACAGGATTGACACTCCCAACTCGCCCGATAAACTGTCAGTCAAGTCAAACACGTTCAAATGATCGTGCATGCGCTCGTTGGGGATGACCTCAGTTTTCCCCAGAACCAAGCTGGGTCTGATACGGAAAACCGCCCGTCCGGTAATGTGAACACCGCGAAACACCACATGATAATGCAGTACGACGATGCCACGTGTAATGCCGACAGAGAAAAATGCAGATACTTTGCCGCGGGGACCTGCGGCCGACAAAAAGGCCACCAAGTTACCTTGCATAAAACACACATTCTGAATAAAGTTATCCAGTGATCCAGTTAACTGTTGGAGAAACAAGAAAATAGTGATGGCGCCCACGTTAACCTTTTTTAATAGCCATTAAGGTCACGACCCAGGAGCACGCTGTGATCGTATGTATTGTGGATTTCGTCGTTTCCTACAGCGGACATACTCCGACTACCTTCAGCAGACCCGTCCAGAAACCTCAGAAAATATTCACGGCAGCTTTTTTGCTGGGATTTGTATTGTCTGCAAATGGGAATCAGTCCGGCTATCCCGCTGAAGATATTAAAACGATGCTCTTAAAGCATTTCATCTGGAACTGCTTATAGAGCGCTTCCAGGGAGCAATCGACTGTTCAGGTTGGAAAAGGATGCAAGGTCACGAAGCAGCTATGATTACGATTACCGAAATCGAGAAACACCAATTCACTGCGCGGCCAGATCACAGGCCTAACTTTATTAGTACGCCCCGTACGAACGGACGAAGAACGAAAACTAAAATGATTTTAGAAATAGAATGGGCAGCTTCCGATAAATGTGTCTAGTCATGCTGTTCGTATGGTGAGCTGGCCAGAACAGGTAGCCACACGTGGTGAACGGCCCGCGCTCAAGCTCTGACTCAGACTCTGACCGCTCAAACTCTGACTCTGACTACTCAAACTCTGACTCTGACTGTCCAGACTCTGACTCTGACTCTGACTGAATAACCTAAGAAGCCTAAGAAACCTAAGAAACCTAAAAAACCTAAGAAAACCTAAGAAACCTAAGAAACCTATTAAGAAACCTAAGAAACCTTCAGAGTCAGAGTCAGACTTTGAGCGGTCAGAGTCAGACTTTGAGTAGCCAGAGTCAGGGTTTGAGTGGTCAGAATCAGAGTCAGAGTCAGTGTTGGAGTCTAGGCCGTGGTGAACCGCTTAGACAACATTCATTCGCTTTAATACGGATCGATAAAGTTAGTATTTCTGGACGACGAATCATAAGACAAAGAGGAACTTTACAGCTCCTTTTTTATAAAAGTTTTAAAACTTTTAATCCGCACCATTTGATGCGACAGTTCAGCTAGGTATGCCGTATTGTGCTTCGAGCAAAGAAGCGTTATTTACTCGACAAAGGTCTGCTTAGGCTGCATTTTATATCTTACGCGGCACTACACTACATCACTCTCGATGCTCTTTCTTATGCCGCTCCTGTTGTTTTTTAACGTACTGTTCTAGTTAGTGGAAGGAACCACTGGCTGTCTGCCTTCCCACACCAGGACAACTGGGAGCGCGACATTTCGCTTCACGCAAATCGACGCGCGACTTTTCTAAGCGTAACATAGTCACGCTGGGACACTATCTGTAGGGTTTCGGACATATCGTTCTCAGACATTCTGCCTTTGCGACAATCCGACGCGAAACGTGTGTTGCTGGTGGGACTCTCGAAGCATGCGACAATTTGCCGCAAACAATGCGACGCACTTCGTTTTCACAGGTTTTCCAGATATTTTTCAAATTTTGCTAAATTTTCGTAAGATTTCTTAGGGTTCTTGGGCTTCGTTGATTTGATTCAGTGTGTTTTATTCGTTTTGTTTCTCGTATGTTTTAGCTACCATGCAGCGAAATGTCTGCGACGAGATGTCCGGGGGATAGATGTGGCAGCGTGATTTGACTTTGTACAAACAATTATTTCGAAGAATTCTTTCAAATTCATTTCGCCATTTCAAAACTTGCTGTTTGTTTTTGTCTTCCTAATGAAGTTTGAGAATAACATTTTGAAAATATTTTATACAAAAGTCAAATCAACGATCAACCATCAGTCTACACCGATCCAGGTAAATCTGTTGACTTTGCCTGCGCTGTCTACGCGACACACAAGAAAACTCCGTGAGTATAAACCACAGTCCACAGATGACTGTGTAAATGTAAAGAAGGCTTTTTCTGCCGGTATTTCGGATTCCGATCTGTATTTCATTTTCGCTCATAAAAAGGCCTAAGCAAAACGTATCCTTCACCAAACGGTCCTTATTACACGGATGAGGCAGGAAAGTGCATACATCCTACATATACCTATGCTTTAAATTTTGTTGCAAATATATTTATGGAGTCAAAGATTTTGCAATGCAAGCAATGCAAATTCTTTAGGCTTCGGGATACGATTGTAAATTTCGACATATCCCGAGACCCGACAAATGAGCTACCATTATTCTACATATTATAGAATATGTACTTCCATTATTCTACATATTAACCATTATTCCATGACCATTATTCTACATATTATTCTACCATTAATCTAACCATTATTCTACATAAACCATTATTCTACATATGAAACCATTATGAAACCATTATGAAACCATGTGAAACCATTGTTCTACATATTATAGAATATGTACTTCCATGTACATTGGCATGATAATAATTTATCTTTATGTTAATGTTATGGACACTAAAGCAATCAGTTTGTTAACAGCAAAATTTGCCACAAGATGAACATTAGTACCAGCCGATAACGTTTGTTAATTTTTGTTGTAAGAACTGCTGCATCGACGTATCAACAGAACAAATCACCGTGGGATTTTTCAGAAAGTACGGCACAATGCACTTGGTTAGTCTGGAAGTACAAATACCAGATTGGCTCATCCGATAAAGGTTCGCTGTAAGGAAATTAAATTTTTAGTGGCGTTATCTCGTATGATCGAAGAGCGCACAGCGCTCCTGCCGGACTGTTTTGCCTGTTTTGCCCTTATCCTGCAGCACTCGATAAAATAAGTAGTTTACTGTTTATAAAACGTGATTTTAACTGTTTCCAAAACAGCTGAAATATTGCATAATACGCGTATTCCTACTCATCACGCGTAATTGAATTATTGTTGCGCGGAAGTCTTCGGCACGATGCACATTTCGGTCATTACTGCTGTACAAGCATTTATATCCACAGTTGCCTACTGCAGTCTGCCAACTCTAGCAGAGCTCCATAATATCGATCGCACGGCAACGGGGTCACGACCCAATGATGTAAGGATTTCAACAGACCGAGGAGAAACCCCGAAGTTTATAGTTTGTAACTTTTAAAATAAATAAATTGTAGTTGAAGTATACAACGTTATTATGCCCGTACTGCTTGATACTCTACATGCTGGTGTACATGAAAATAGTATACAGAAATGCTTAAGTACACAAAAAGTCTTTTCCTATACAAGTCATTGTAAACCTCTAGAAAAGCAAAAACAGTTCATCGAGATTGCGACTGCACTCGACTGTAACTAGTATACAACTAGTTTGCCTATACTGCTGAATTCATCATGTACCAGAAATTACAGATTGCCAATGGGAAAATTGTAAGGGGTGCACGGCAAACGGCTCTAGGGACTTTCACCAACGAAACACACAAGGACACGCAATGGCGCATGCAAATGGCGGAATTCAACTTAAGCGACTTGCTGGTCCGGAGAAAGAGAGCTGCACAGGTCCGTATGTTCTTTGATTTGGTCCTGCGAGGGTTACAGACGGTAGTTATAGTACTTCGTATCATTATGAAATTTTATGTGCATACAGTACATATATACATTTACTGCATTATTTGAATGTGATATTTCTGTGCTTTAATGAGTGTAGTCTAATTAGGTACTGCATAAATACTACTTCCTAGAATAACAAAAAAATAATAAAAAACCACAAATAATTAAATATTTAACAATAAAATGGCAATAAAAATAAATGAATACAGAAATACCATATTCTATTAGTAGAGCAATGCAGTGGACTGTAAAGTGGTGGTTACCAACTGTAGGTTTACCGCTATTGCTGTGGGTGTTAACTCCAGATCGAAGTCCAGTAGCATTTCTGTGTAATTCAGAACATAGGCATATACTCGTATCTGTTCTTATACTGTTCGTACCACGGATGGGTGAATAATGCACCGGTAGAAATAATATAATTTTTGTAATAACTTATTTAAAGTACTTACGCAGCGGATCGCTGCGGGCGCTACAACACTTTATGACGAGTTTCTGATGTCGAAAATGGACAACAACACCATCCGCTATAAAAATATTGCGGAGATGCCGTCATCTTTATTTTGGAAATTCAACGTGGAAACGAATGAAACGGTTAGATCCCAAAAGCAACTAAAAATATTCCTTCGAACAAAAGTATTTGGTAGACTCACGGTAGAATCCCGGTTCAAAATTTGGTTCGTTACATAAGATAACGTTACTACTTTAGCTACAAAACTTGTTCGAAGATAGTGTCTGCTGTACTGATGGTCAGAACTCGTTAAATCGTTTGCATGTGTTACCCAAGGTTGCCGACTGCAACCGTAGTTATGTCGTGCTCCCCGATCGCCTGCCCAACGACAGCGAACCAATAATCGAAGCCATTCAGTACAGCGCTGGACTGGACGAGACAGCATTCCGGCCGAACAGCCTGGCTGATAAATCCATAGGGTAAAGTACTTTGCGATAATGTTACATTTCGTCAGTGACAAATTAAGCAGGCCCATTTCTTTGATTTTGATAATGAGTTCAGTTCGATGAACATCATTGTCCATGCTGATGTCTTCCGCAATTCACGTAAAAGCGACTGAAGTCTGACCTTTTTTTAATGTCGTTTCAGATGGCAATATTTTAGCACAAACACAGGACCACTTCGGTTATACTCCGGCCGTGAGTGTCCTAAAAATGTCACGGAATACAAACGTGCTGCTGACCCCAGATTGCTCTCATGGTAAACTTTGCCGGATGGTACCTACAGATACAGATGTAGATATCTGTACATTTGCCTTCGAAATCTGGGTTTGTTAGTATATAATTATGTAGAATATAGCTATGCAGCCTGTGCTTTGTAACATACATATGTACATAAACGTAACGATTTAATGTTTCCCATTTTTCAACCATATGTAACTGCAGCGAAACCAGTTGGTGGTTGTCAGCGCCACAAACCAGCTACCCTTTTATTATTTCACGTGGTAATATCTCTTGGCAGGTACAATTCAGTCGCAAGCGGACCCAAGGATGTCGTTATCATTATTGACTGCAGGCAAGAAACGTTATTCCGTTATTTTGTGGTTGTTTACAAAATGTTTTAAGGACGTAACAATAATGTATGTTGTTACCTTGACATAATTTCAGCTTTTCCATGAATGACGAAAACTTCTCAGTTGCTAAATCGGTGGCTGCAACTGTTATTGAGGCTTTAACCAGTCGCGGTACGGTTATTTACAATCGAAATCGTATCGAGTATTGTTTTTTGTGCTCGTGTGCTCCTGTACATCCGTTTAAAAAAACTTTTGTCGGTTCTTCTAGATTACTTTAATGTAATTTGTGCACGAAAAGGAGACCGGACGACACGAAAGTAAGAACATCATGGTACAAACTACGGCTATGAACTCGTTCAAAATTACGGTCGCCTTCAGTGGACAATATGGATTAAACATATCTGTACAATAATTATTTAATAATATAGAAATACTACCCAGTTAATACGTTGGAGATAGGCAATGGCGTACTCAAAGGGCTTTTTGTATTGGTGGTATTTACAGTATGCAAAAAGACACCCTTGAGTACGGTATTCAGCTAGCACCTGAAGAAGACTGTCATTGGAAATTGTATACTAGTGCACATGTCTGCTAATTTTCAGTTCGGGAGATGCCGTGTCTGAAGTGTCAGGCTGCAATAACGCGTCCTTGGTGCCAGCCACAACAGCCAATAAAGCGGGCATCGTTGAGACGGTCAACCGTCTACAGGCGACTGGGAACAGCGATCTCAGGTAAGCAGGAAATGATCAGATAATTAGTATACGCGCTAACCTGCGAGCCCTGACGTATGTGTCAGCGCGTGTATGACGAGGGTGCAGTCCACGATTAAAATCATTTGTACCAATGAATGAAGATTTTATGAAGTGCACCCATGCTGTATAATATGTATCTAACTGGCAAAAAAAAAACAAGTTTTGCCGTGAACTGTTCTAGTCGGCTCTTTTATCATTCTTTCCGACAGACGGTCTCTCTTGGGAGTAAAAACAACAACCGTACCTGACTCTGACCGCATATCCAAATTGTTTTTGTTGTAATCTTAAGTATCATTGGCTGTTTTTATTGCTTCATTGTACAGAGTATATGTCGTTATCGCATTTGAAAAGCAATACGGTAAAATGAAAATCAAAACAGCGAGAAATAAAAAAACTAAGATCTTTATATTAATTTTTTCGAAGCCATTGCTGCACGGACCAACGCACCAGCTATGCACGGAAACATGCACTGCACCAACCGTTAAATTCACTTAAGTTTGATAAAATTTGTCTTTAAAAGTTTGTAACGTTGTCGATAAACGGCAAATGGAATCGTGCATAATACACTTTATTAATATCGTTGTTCTCAGTCTTGGATCATAATGTTGAGTTCTCCTTTAATGCATATAATTATATTTTTATGTTGTGAACTGACTGTTCAAGTCAGTGTTCCCCGTTTTACTTATTTGCTTGCAGTATACAATCAATACGCTTTTTAAACATACTGTAATATAGCACTGGGTTGTGTTTGCAGGAGCGGTTTTCAAGCAGCATTCGATTTGTTGAAGCCTTCTCGGCGTACGCAGTGTCAAAGTATTATCATCTTTGTCAGCAATGGAAAACGTAAGTCTTCATCTACTCAAAGGTTTGACGTGATTTACTTTTTAAGCTCACGACAGCAGCGGATGCCAAACGCACCGCACAGGCTGAAACTTTACTATTATACTGCAGCGACGATATGGATTGTTGTTGTTTGTAGTAAAGCATTATTTTCTTATCCAGATTCTTCCGAAACCGAAGGACAGTCCAGTGAGACCGCAGTCCGAAACCTGGTCGACTCTCAGAACAAATTAATTAAACCTAAGGTACGTAATGGCTATTTTGCATTTGATTGCATTTCATCGAAGTTAGTTCACGTTCGCTACGATGCAAAAGACGAACACGTATAGTTAAAATCGCATACACCCGACAGCAAAAAAAATGCAAAAACCTTGTGTTACAGGCGCGGATTTTCAGTTTTCTTATTGGAGCAGATAGTAATTGGGCTTTACACGAGAGTTTGTCGTGTTCCAGCGGAGGTGCCGTGGTCAGTTTAACAACCACGGACGATTTGATCAACCAGATGCAGCCGTATTTTGTGTACCTGTCACAACGAACGGTGGAATGGGCAGGGCTGTGGACTCCGCCTGAGCGGAAACCATGGAATCGACGTGTGGCCATAACATATGCCGTGGCGGCTGTCAGCAAAATGACGATGAGGTACATTATTTAAGTCTATGTCAATAATAGATTAACCGAAACTTACGTCTGAATATTACGTTACCTAATAACCAAATCAATTACAAAAGTAAGTCATCATGCGAATATGCGGACATCATATTATTCATATACATCGACTTGAGCAAGTCCGTTTTTTCGGATACTTGTACATATTTCGAAGAATTGCTTGAATTTACTGCAGCATTTCAATACGGTACATCTTGGGAAAGCCATTGTTGCATTTTCGGCTTTTAATCATAACTTCGTTCTTATTTTCATCAAGATACTGTAATAAGTAAGAAACAATAAGTTCTAATTTAGCAGAAATTGGAAATTGCAGAATCCATCTGAGAGAAAGGCGTACATATAGAGTTTCACATCGCATAAATTTTCGTGGCAGAGCTAAACCACGCTGCAACACCAGAAGGCGATATTTGTTTACAAACCGAACGCCATTTGTTTACTATGATTTGTAGTAAAGCTTTAGTTTCATTTGCTTATACTGAACGTATAGAACAAATTATAGGGAAGCAAATTTTCTGAGGATTTCAGACTAGGTATGCACTCCAGTGCAAGTATGAGGCTTCATAAGCCTCTGAATGATTAAATAAGCTTTCGTGCATCTGGACAAGCAAACTACTTAGATTATTGTATGGTTTTCGCAAGCCTGTACATTTTAGACTTTGGCACGACGCAATTTGTCTATTTAGAACACTGGGTTTCGCTGCTGTGGATGTTACATTAACGGAAATCGAAGAGCTTCTTAATCGATACAAATGGGCTCCCGGGTATATTTTCGTTATCGACCGCAAAGGCAAGACAATCATACATCCACAACTCCCAAAAAACATGCCGGTAAATATGTAGCGTACTTTTATGTTTAGCTGCGCTCATAATTACCCAAGGTTCTTCGTTCGAAGATTGCTCCTTGAGAATCGACCAGCAAAATAAAACAAGTATTATACAGCTTTGGTAAATGATGCTATTAATGACTCGTACTGTAGGCTTTGCAAGGATCAGTTAACATCAAAGCGTTCGAGCAAAATGGGACAGGCGATCCCGAGTTCTTCGGTGCCGTTGAACAGGCTATGCGGAGGGGAGAGAAAGGTTACAAAACACTCCTCACGGTAATCTTTCACTAACTTATACCAATATTATATTGTGGGGAAAAGGGTCAATGCAAAATTATTATTGATGGTGAATGCGTTATGCTTACAAAATGTCATGATTCCAGAAAAATATGACCTACTACTATGCGCCTGCCAGTGAGGAATACAGTTTCGCTTTCGTCGTAACCCCTTCACATACTCCTGATCAAAGCAGTGGTAGTGCTAATAAGGTCATGCGCAAGCAACTGGGTGAGCTTTCCAACGTTGGTGAAGAGCTCTGTAATTCTGATCCCCACGACGAAGGAGAAGACCACTGCCCTGTTATGCGAGATGATGCGCTAATCCAAATCCCATGCGGAGGTTTATAACGTTCTTCACGGATTACTCTCGTACAGTGTGCATTCTTTAGCAGATTAGAAACTAAATCTTCAAATTCGTGCTGTATTTTACTTTGGAATAAGCGTTACGGGAAAGATATTACCAGTTTGACCCTAAAGATTACATTTAGAATAAGTACATCAGCAATATTATTAAATCACTTGTTGCATTACGCCGGCACCGGATTGCTGGCTTCTTTAAGTTTTCTGTCCGATGACTGGCTAGCCTCCAAGTATCCACAGCATCATAAAATGACAAATCTGGACGTATTCATTATATAGAGGCACTTTTCGCATGCAAAGTCAACTCCAGACTGCGTGGTTTCCGGATGTTCTTTACCATTCATTTCCAGAATGATGATCGCGTAAGTGATAATCGCACCTGTCAGCTGCAAATGAAAATCATGGGTGACAAGAAATCATTGACATACCGAAAGATTACTAATGAAGCATTTTGGCAACGAAAAGCGTGTTTGAAAGATCAGCCTATATTGTCGTACCGATAGCACAAACGTTCGATCAATCAGAAAAAACGTTCCCACGGTGAATCCAACGCGATCCGTTTGGATCTTATGAATGTAAGAGGACAACCAGCAGTACTCCTTCTGATCTAGGTCAGTGCGGAGGAGTTTAAACAATAGGGCCACTACGGATTCCGCCTAGAAGAAACCAAGTGTAACTAACCTTATTTAGCCTGAATCTAATCCACAAAATTATAATTTAAATGATCGAATCGACCAGTTGTCACGCTTAATTATACCTGGGTGTTAGTCATTACGAAGCAGGTGGTAAAAACTGTAATTAAAACAACAGCCACGCCGAAAAGGTCAACCTCAGCACGAATGTCTGTACTGCTGTCGCTGAGTGCCGAAATTCCCCTCAATAAACACAAAACATAGAATGTGTATTGCATAAAAAGAGGAAATGTCAGAAAACCGTCCAGCTCCGCTATTTCATCGCTTAATAGGGCGTGGTCGTTTAATATCGTTTTCACTGTTTTTAAGTCGCCCTTTTTCACAGCCGATTTGCAACAGTGCTGTAATGCGTGGAAGGACAACGCAGCGCCTCCCGCGGTAATGATGGTCATAATTTGGTAAGCGGCAATCGATCCCAAATAGACGAAGTTGAACAATACAAAAAGCACCTGTGCACAGAAAAACACAGCTGGGTGACTGTATTGCAGGCCCGCCAAAGCCCATAGAATTCCGAAATCCTTCGTGACGTTGCCGGTGATAAATGTCCCGTTGATTAATGGCACAAAGCGCCACAGAAAGATGGCGGCGAGCAGTGTGGACAATATAATTGCACACGCGTAGAATGACCTTTTGTACCGTGTGGTAAGGTATCGGATTCCGAGATGATCGATGTGACCTATTTTGTGCATCACCTCGTTGTGTCTCCAAGTGGCATATAAGAACATTATCGACATACCCGCCTGAGCGAAGATTCCAACAGAAGCGCTTAAAATGTTTTGAGTTATTACATCCCACTTTCGCTCGGAGAAAGCACAGATTCGACGATAAGTATTAAGGGCAGACGAACAAATTATCAGCGCAAAGTAAACCCCGACCGCGGCTCTCCAGAAGGCGGTAGCAACACGTAACCAGATGCAGTTATTAGCAGGATGCTTTAAACACGACTGCCGGATAGGAAAACAACCAAAACCACAAACTCGCAGAATGGCCGAGTAAACGCTTATGCATTTTAACAAGCAACCCCGGCACTTACTCTCGTAATTTTTCAACCTGCCGGTTTCGGTCATTTCTGTTTTAAATTCCATCGTAGTTATTCCTCAGGCTTTGACACTATGAAATCCTGTAACAAACTGTAAGTTTGCCTGAAATTTTGCTGAAGTGTCACAACTCGCCTGGGAAGGCTGTTCTACTCCTATTTAACTTAAACAGCTCAAGTGTTACACGTTGTAGATACAGCGAGAGTGTCAAAAGGAAAGTCAAGGTGCCATCCACTTTACAGTGAAAGAATAGGTGTTATATAGTGTGGGTGTGCGCTGTGCGTGCACCTGAAGTATGCTGAACTTCTGCTTAAAGTGTGCTGAAATACTGCCACATGACAATAGATCGTCAAAAGAATTCCTTCGGGGTTTGTCCCGTTGACTGTGTAAATAATAAGGTGAAACAGAGTAACAGTGGATTAGCATTCCGTGGGGATGTGTCACGACGTGGAGCGTCGTGCTCTTTAATACTTACGCAACTAAATACGTAAACTAACAAATGTAACAAGGAATTAATATAACATTGCACTGGCACATGTTGCCATGCGTCACAGGATGCTTGAACGTTGACTACGGCTGAAAGGCTTGTGGATTATGGATTTCCGGTTCAATAAGCTTTCCTGGCTCAAGCGGCAGACAAAAATATGGTAGCTCGTACATTGTTATTATTTGCTTCGAACTACATATAATAATCCACATTACCGTTGCTTTGACCGCTACTGACTTGCAGCGCAGTCACGATTATTACACGAAAAACGAGAAATACTTTAAAAGTACTAAGTTATGCGCATAACACAACAATGCGACACCATGATGAACGACCCAGCCTTTGGGCTCGTCCGTATTCCGATAGTGTTGAGTGTAACTGAAAAGTGTTCAAAAGACGGATCAAAACTTTTTTAAATGCAGGCTATGGTGTTCTAAATAGAACCAATATGTATCCCATTCAATTTGAGACGTAGCTTTTATGTGCACTGTAAGACGCTAGTTACCCAGAAAATGTTGCTTTTGAAAAGGTCTTCGCTGGAAACTGGACACTAACGGGCTCCTTAATTTGCCTCCCTTATGTTTGGCATAGAAGACCACGGTTGCGGTTGTCTCCGCGTCGTTTTAAGTAAAAACTAGTCCACAAATGCCTCAAAGCCGAGAGCTGTTCGTGAAAATATCGCATCGAAAAATGACCTTGCAGGCTGGACCGTTCTATTACTCTCTACTGCTGTTCAATTGAGGAATGTGTGAAGCGAATATTGCCTAGTAATCTTGAATCCTGGCTTAAGCCTGTAGTTCAAGAACTGGAGCTGCTGTTGAGCTTGGTTATACCGTGTAGCTGGCAAGCTGCAATGTTACGATCCACGATCAACACTCGGTAAATTCGATTCGTATCCAGTCAACTAGCTTAACAGCCTGAATACTAGAACCATCGCTCCCCAACCTCGACAGTCGCATTATCCTAATAAAGTAACCACGGTCTTACTAATAAATTATGGTATTTTATATGCGTACATAACAACTAAATCTTCTACCACGAATTCAGTTTGTCTTCTTTCTTGATCATTCTTTGCAACGATGCTCCTTAATCGAAAGCTGTTTTCAACAGACTTTGTGAAGTAATCGTCACGAGAAAAAAGTAGCCTTTAAGCAGGTGTTTATATTATCTACCATGTACTGTTCCTGGCACACATCATCCCACTTTGTGCGTAGTGGGACGTATTAAACGGAAAAAAGGTTTCGCAGAAATACTTATCGATGCGAGATTGCGCTGCGAGAAAATGTTATCACCCGGGCGTTTTTAAGGGGCACATCGCAACTGTCCACACATTATTTTTTTTAAAAGGATCAAGGCAGGGGATAAAAGGTGGCAGTGGCACCTGCCAATGGCAGTTGCCACTGGCAGTGGTATCTGCCACTACTGGGTCTGGCAAACGATAAAATCTGGCAGTTGCCAGAAATGCGAAATACGTCCCAGTTGTAATGCACAATCAACACAAACATTCATATGCCGAATTGTTTGTGAAACTTTACAAAACTTTATCGGCCCTTTGCCATACTAAGGCCTCGTCCCGAATTCAAATCTCGTTGCGATACAGCAACTCCACCTCGCGAGGTGGCTTCGCGTACCGTATCTGTAGGCGTGGCCACTGCATACAGCCACCTCGTGCGGTTGAGCAACCGTACCATAATGAGATTCGCTTCGAATTCGGGACAAGGCCTAAGTCATCTCAATTACGGTGATTACCGGGAGTGTCACCTGTACTGGCAATAGTAGCGGGCTAACGCTTACTTCGATTCTTTAGATTGCCCAAGCTTCTTAGGCCCCTGTTTAGTTCATACATCATCACTTCTGTTACATAACATTTTGGCTGAAGCACTCCCAATCCACCCATTTCGCCTACATTCAATCGAAACTTCCCTTTTAATGAATATCTTATTAATTCAGTTAATATAATGCAGGTCTTTGAAAATCACCTCCAGAGTCGAGATTAGTTATTTACAAATCTGTTTACAGGTTGTAGATCACGTTTGTCTCAGACTCTTAGCTCATGAATGCTGTTCCCGTTAACCCTCATCAAGATATACTAGTATTATACCAGCCACCGGGCGCGACCTACTGACCTAATTTTTTGAGTTTATACGTGAATTTTACTCCTGAATCTAAAAATCTTGGTCCCCAGTGAGGAAACTGAAAACTTTTCGAGATATCGAAGCAGAAGCTAAACAGGGCTAAACCCAAAAATTCCTAGTTCCTGCATGGTTACAACACGACCATACAGTTATAAATCAGAAATGCGAACAGTAAATTAGGAAACTCGCTTAAAAAGAGCACCATAAGACAAAAAAACCTAAGAATCCTAAGAAACCTAAGAAACCTAGAAAACCTAAGAAGCCTCAGAAAACATTCTAGGATAATAAAACCAAAGAAATTTAAAAAGACTGAAATACGAGTGCCTAGAAATAAAACTTAAAAAATCTACTAAAACCTATAAACCTAAGAAAAACTTGCGCTTTCTCAGTTGTCTTAAAAGAACCAAAAGCATCTGAGAAACCAGGAGACGATAAACTCAGAAAACTAATCACACGGCTATAGAAGTAAAAAGCAGTTTCCTAGCATACCCATCGTACTAAAACATTTGATGGGCTGATCTTAGGGTCTAAACATAATCTTTTCGGATGCCTCTTTGTTCTCCTGTCCCCAAGAGGGGGACAAACAGGCTAACAAATCATGTAGCTACTCCAGCTGATTTAAGCTGGTTAGGTATGAAGTTGTTATACTCTTTCATGTCTGGAAACTTTGAATTTCCCAAGCAAAGAAATGGTCGGCGGAAACACTTCCGTGTATTGCTTTTTAACATTACAACTAGTGCATAATTAAAAAAACAGAAATAATCTAAGAATCTAACGAGTCAAATATTACGATCTTTTCCACTCCCTAAGAAGCGTTACAAAAGTTTTAATTTTTTGACACCAAAGTGTGGGCACTTGACAAAACGTGAGTCGCGTATTCCTGAAATTTACCGCTGCCGAAGTGACCGGACGTGACCAGAGTCACCTACGACGGATTTTAGTATTGTGGCAACTGCCACGTTTTATCGCTTGCCAGACCCGGTAGTGGCAGATGCCACTGCCAGCGGCAACTGCCAGTGGCAGGTGCCACTGCCACCTTTTATCCCCTGCCAAAAATCAAGCTATCAAATCAAAACCAAAGCATCCAAAAGTCACCCACTAATATTACGTCGCAAAATATAGTCTCCGGGATTGGCACTTGACAAAGTTAATCCGTTTCCCTCTCGAGATTCTTTCAGTTGCAAGACGAAGGTGCCGTAGGAGAATAAAACCCCAGTTATCTACAAGCACCAGCAGTTCATAAGGCTTAAACTGACTGTGGCATTAAAAGATGCGAATAGTGTTTACCGTGCCAATAAAAGATCGATTTACCAGGACGATACCGGCTAAAGAAAACCCTGTAGGCTTGTGGGTCGCACGGTACAGATGGCCCAGCAGTTGCTGGCGCCTCTCTAGGTCAGTTTCCTCATCGATTAGCCGGTGCATCTCATGGGAAATATCCGTCTACGAATGAATATTTTACTCCTACTCGCTTTTAAGAAAAAAACATCATTGGCTTTCGCCTTTGGTTTGGGCTGACACATCGCTAACGCTGAACAGAAAGAAGCGGTCTCTAACAAACAATCCCGCTAGGTAACGTTTGCAAAATGACTAACCTGTTCATGCACATTAATCATAGCCGAAGTTGCAATGACAACAACGTAAAATAAGAACAGAACGCTTTGAATTTGTGTTCCCACTTGTAGAACGCTGATGTCTTTACCAGCCAGGTTATTGATCACCCACAATATCCACATAACGACTTGGAAGTAGAACAACAGAACATAGCTGCTCAGCTCTTCCGATAAACTGTCAGTCAAATTGCACACTTTCATGTGATCCTGCATGACGTCATTAGGAATAGTATCATCTTTCTCCAAAACTATTCGTTTTCCGATGCGATACGCCACCCGCCCGGTGATGGCAAACACCGTGAAGCCCCACATGATGATATAGTATGACGAGGCAAGGTGCAGCACCGATAGGGCAAAATACGCGTATCTCGCTGCGGGTATCGTTTGGAAACTCGTTATCCCGTAAGCGCTGGACCACAAATCGGCTTCCACTTGCGCTGTCATCGCCATCAAGTCTTCCAAAGAAATGATATACTGATAGCACCACATGGCCATCCACACCGACATAGCTACAGTTAACTGTGTCAACAGTGCCGGTTCCCGTTGGCTGAAATACTGCCGCTCATAACCGCGGATCTGCTGCACGTTGACCCGGATTCTTTTCCAGTTTTTGGCGATCAAGGCGGCCGAGAGAAGCGCCACCAGGTCGCCTTGCAAAAAACACACATTCTGAATAAGATTATCCAGTGAGCCGGTTAATTGTCGGAGGAACAGTGGAATGGTGATAGCGCCCAAATGAACGGTTTTCATAGCCATAAAGGTCACGATCCAGGAGCACGCCAAGAGCGTCTGTAGCGTAGACTTGGTTTTTTCGTATAGTGGACACACTCCGGCTATCTTCAGCAGAACCGTCCAGAAACCAAGGAAAATATCCAGGAAGCGTGTGATGGTTTTCTTGCTGGGATTTGTACGGTCTACAAATGAGAATCGGCCCGAAGGTTCGGTCGAAGACACGGATTGACAGAAAGACAAGTTTTTGGACAAAGAATCTATCAGCATATTGAACAGGTATTTTTCGGAGCCAGTTCGAAATATTCTTCGCTCTTTGATCTAATGCAACGGATACAGGAAGAGTTCCGGCATATCGTGTACGCCATATAGTCCTCACAGTAAACGAGCGTGCGTGGTTAAAATGCTGATGCAGTGTAAATACCTAACTCAATATAAGCTGTGCATAAGGTAAAGTGAATGTAAACACCGTGAACCCGGTACTGTTGGCGGATGTCGGGTAACCGCCTAGGCTTTCGAAAAGGATCGATTTTCCGCCAAATTCCAAATCCAATGGCAGGCCTGAAATACTGCCTGCAATTAAATGCAGGAAGACAAACGTATCGACAATGCTAGCCGCAAATACTTACAACGCGTCACTGGTGGCGTGTGGATTTGCATGACCGAGTCGCGTGCCTTTGTGGAGGGCCTATTGCATAACTGCTGGTTGTTGTTACAATGTTAGAGAGCGTGACAAAGGAAAGAAATGTCGTTAAAATTTTTTTTCTAGCTGTATGCATTGGCATGCAACTATATGGCACTGTGCTTCTGGCAGATGATTGGCAAAACATTTTATTTCTCACCTTACCAACTGTGCAGAATATGACTTTAAGCGACTTAATCAGCGTTTATCCAGTAAGGGCCATTCGAAATAGCCCCTTTTTTCGGGTAACAACACCTACAAGTCTACAAGTACAACTAACTACAAGAGAATGTTTGGAATTCAAAAAGCAAGCCATACATTTTCGAGTGCAGATGTATCAGTAGATGTATTACGTATACAAAACACATTCGTGACAATTCCTCCGTAGAGGAATTAAATACGTAGGCGGTGGTTATATCATTAATACATAATAAAAATATGCAGTGAAAAAATTTTAAAAAAAGCTAAATTATACTGTCTCACCGAATTTCTTTTGCACGACTGCAGTGTTTTTCAAAGGAAGCCTTCATAGATCGAAAAACTGCCCCCATACCACTGGACCATCGCTTCCAGTGTTCCCTTTCATTATGGCTACACCGGTGACATGGGTGCAGTTTTTCGATCTATTTAGGCTTTCTTTGTAAAACACTGCAGTCGTGCAAAAGAATTTCTTTTGCACGACTGCAAATGAAATTCAAAAATTTTAAAAATTAATTTAAAAGTTGAAAAAATGGTAGAAAGCTGGTTAGGTACCAAAACGATCTTCATAATAATGGGCGTTTTGGTGCAAAATTTAAAGAGTATCGGTTCATAATGAAACGTTTGGTGCACCTCCGCGCGTTCAAACTTTTGGAATATTATTTCAATAATAACTCCCGAACCGGATGTTGCGCGCGCAAACGGATTTCACGCCTACGTATATAAACCTTTGGCTACAAAATCAAAATGTCATAAAGCAATGCAAAAAAGTGTTTACGAGTGCGCGACAGCGAGAATTCCCGTTTATGTACCTCAATTTGGTACCAAGTGCCGGGCCAAATCCCTTAAATCGGAACCATGAGTTCATCTGCGTACGAGTTGTCTAGTCGCAACGTGGATTTTTCTGGGTAGAATTTCGGAATGCCTGACCTTTTCTGATGTATAGCAATACGTTATTTTGACATGCACTATTCATCCTGAACACAGCATTCCAGTCCTGGGAAACGAGCAGTTAAGTGTTCCAGTTCAATAATTTTTTTCTGAGCGCAGATAGTGTGGAGGGTGAGGTGAGTCATCCGCTAATACTGTGGTAGAACAATACGAATGCAAGCCTGCTGCCTACGATTGTATGATTGCTGTTGGAATACCGACCGTCTAGCTTTGCGATACATACACTGATGCACAGCATCTCTTCACTACTCGAATGGGAATCCGACAGGGAATCGGCAACTGAAAAGGCAGGATTGAGGCTGACCTTTAGTGTCCTTTACTTTCCATCTTTTCCCCGTTAGAGAATAGACAAACGCAAAAGCTCAGAACAGACAGAATCATCCTGACTTTTCAGTTACACGTTGGATCCTATACTAATATAATATATAGACAAACTACAGTACGTACGTCTGCCATATGTTATATTAGGCTTGCCCGTTTCAACCGTGCAGCGCCTACGTAAAAATGAATACAGTAACAGCTAATTTTATTATGGGATTTGGAAAGGACGTGCAAAAAGAAATTAAGAAAGGTAATAGATATCACGAGGATCCAGAATCAAACATCAAGGTACGTAATTACTGGGTCACCGTTTAATGGCAGGTGAAAACCTTGGGAGACTTGTGTAGCTTCGAAGACCTGGTTTTTAATTTAATTCTTAAGTATGTATATACGTACTTCACAAAAATCCGCCTATGCGCACTTTTTGTTCTATGTTGCGGCTAGCCAAGTTAACGTGAATGATGTACATAATCCAGTACGTATCTGTGCAGTCGTGTACTGTACACGGTACATCCTTGGTCTCCGTCCAACGGAATTACTTACTTGTTATGCATCTACCCGGTACGTTAATTATAGACTCGTACTCACAAAAGGCTTTGTAAATTATTGTTCGAGACGCATCGAGGGTACAATAATCGCAAGACATTTCCAATTAACTGCGAATAGAAAAATTACTTTTACATTCACAAACTGTATCAGCAAAAGTGGTGATACCTTATTAAACCATCAATTCATCGACGTTTAAAAAGCATAAAATTGCAGTAAATAAATTTTTTTAAGTTGCAGATCTAGAGCACTGCACGACGGTAAACTTGGTGTCTGGATTAATGGCGATGAATGCCAGCGCAATTATAATCAAACATCATCACTTAGTATTAAAGAACGAATCCGTGACCTTAGCGGCCGAGGCGGTATTTTGCAGGTGCTTCGTCATAATGTCATCGCTAGGGTAGCGCCACACGTAGCGGCACTTATCGGCATCCATTTCCGGGTAGGATAGCGTAAAAACGAACTGGGTAACTGTTTGCCTAGATAAGTCAAAAAATAAAATCAGCATCTGAATTGGGAATTTTCGGAGCGCCGCAGTTGTTTGCCTAGTAAAGCTTGCTTTTAGTGAACTTTTGTTTTACTGTGCTCGGTGGTTTAAGCAGAACTTATTGATGCTCCTATAAATCGAATTCATTTGCATCAGGGTAGTAAGCAGTCATATATGTCAACAAAACAACGCAGCCGGAATCCGGAAAAATTAAAACCCGCGCAAAAGAAGCGGGCAGCTTTGTGGTGTACAGACATTCCGTCAAGGACTGGAATCAGCAATTTTCTTACCCAGTTATTGTCTGCTGGTTATCAGAGCGGCCCGTCAATCCCACCGTCAGATTGACACCGGGGAGTGACAGAGGATTGGCTTCGTTAAATGCATCACCGACCGCGTGAAGAACCGCCTCCGAATTCTGTTGATCACAAAATAACGTACAGCGTTCTCCTTGCTCACAAATGTTTACACGAGTAAATAGTACGTACAGTGATACTATGCAGTAATGGAATTATGTACATTTAGTACACGTACATAACTAGACTGCTAACCAAATTACCCGGGAGCAAAAAGACTGTGTAAAAGTGAGCACAATAAAAATTAGTGATGGGCCGATGCATCATCCTATATTACATGCTCGCTAATCAAAGAAAACCTTGTTTTTCTCACTGCTGATCGGAGGTCGCACACGTTGTGAGGGGCAATCAATGAAGCTCATATTTTTGCCCTTCTCAGATTTTTTGTCAGAATTTATTCCTGTGAGATAGCTGAACACTCACCAGATCTGCTCGCTGATTTGAACGCCCTCGCTGATAATAATACACAAGATGCAGATCGAATGTTCTGGGAAGAGGACAAGCGTACAATCGCTCCGCATATGTTGGATTTTGTGCGCAGTTCGCCTGGCCTGATTCGGAGGAATTAGTCTCCAGGAAGTTGAGTTCAACGCCTCCGTGTTTGAAACGCATTATGCTCTCGGCACCCGACAGATAATAATCGCGGGACATTCCATCCAAAATCGCCCGATATACAGTCTCACCCCGCTGTGACTTGGAAGGTAAGATATTCGAGACCCAACCTCTTGGGATGATAATAAAGAAATCCAACGTCTTGCCGTTGAAATGCTCATTTTCCGGGATCCAGACGACGATATCAGAGACTGAAACTATAAACACAGCGCCCCAAGTATTGCACAGTGACGCACTACTGGACATTGTTGATTGTATCAAGTTCGCCGGTTTGCCGGGAAATGATTGAGACCGGCGAGAACCTAGGCACACGACTGTAACCGACCAAAACGTCCACCGAATGCTTCGTTCGTTCGGACGTTTTTGTACACGACATTTTTGCCGTGCAGGGGGGATTCTCTAATTATCGCCAATTTCGTGCAGATTACTTGTTGGTCTTGCTGTCCTTACAGTATAGTTTGAAACGAAATATTAATTTTATTATTTGCAAAACGCTCTGATGATTTTTAAGACGCTAGCATGATTAAAATAAATAGTCTTTTCGCTTATGTTCAGCATATCGGCAGCTGCCATATGTCAAATTTCCATTCATTTTTGTGGTTTTCTACGCTTAAAATTATTTCATTATGTACATTGTATTATTGTAATATATAGTACAAAATTATTTTTCATTTCATATCAACACGTTTGCAGGCCCTCTTGATTTTGAGATGAATTTAATTCCAGATTTAATTTTGAAAGCTTGAAAATTTGATTTCAACCCGACAAATCGTAGGTTAAACGTATCGGTTGCACGCTGACGCATGACGGTGCTGTGACCCTAAGAAAACATCAATACAAAACGACGACAGAATCTCACCGCGAGTATGCTGGCTAATCTGATCTCCAAAGGCCAGGAGCGACTGCATGCTGATTGGCGGATTTGTGTACAGGCGGAAAGAGGCATCCGGATGGAATATAATACTGAAAAAAACGGACAGTTACCCATTTCATTTACGCCCTCTTATTTTCATGGCGCGATTCTCGGTTGGCGAGTTCGGGTTGTACTGCTCTTACATGTCATGGTTATATGTCGCGAGTTCTTGAGCAATCCGCTGAAGGGGAAATTTCCATAAATTCTGAATTCCGTTGACTGGCGCATTAGTCAAAGATAGGGAGAAATCAAAGCGGACGGCCTGGCCACTATAAGAGAAATACAAGCCTGTCTAAAAGGATCAGAAGCCAGTATTACCGGCGAAATGGCGGAAATGCGCAAGTTGGGTCTTGTAAATGCATGGTAATTATTATCGCAATATTACGATTCAACGACCACATGTACGAGTATGGAACTAGTGCTGCCGATTGTGCCGTGCCGTACTCTGAAAAAAGATTCATGCTTTTGATTCATCCCGCTTACATATGTGGCTCTCGTTGCTGAGGAGCGTCTTCGTCGGCAAGCATGCTCAGTGTTATTGGAGCGTTGAAACTGGACCCTAATATGGTTCGAAAAATTGGCTGCTGTTTTGTAAGGGCAACAGTGAAGCGGGCGTTATCGATTGTCAATGGATTGGTTTCGGCAATGGCGGCTTTTACGAATCCCTCGATCACCGTATCCGACTATAAACATTGATAAACCACATAAAATCAAAAAATTAACCGTACGTTTCTTTGGAAAACCAATCTTGCCGGCAGTTCAGTATGGCGAGCTAAGAGGTAGATAGCGAAATTTTCTTGTAACGGGCACTCGTAAATTTCTTCGGCCCGACCATAGGTTATCCGGCCTTCCTGACAATCTTTCCAGAAATTCCGTGTTTGACAGCGCTCCGTTTGTGGGACTGGGTGGCTGCTCAAAACAACGTCTTCCCGCACATGTTCAACAGCGCCTGGATAGCATCCCACGCCAGTTTTCAGTCCTTCGAGATGTGCATAAATCTGCTGAGCGTAGAATAGAGTGGGATTCAGCGGGAAAGATGTGTCATCGTCGGTTTCCAGCACGACGAAAAAATCAACGACACCCGTGTTGTTCATGTCCGGATTCCAGATGACGACCTTGACCGACTGACCCTCTCGGACTAAAAATTTTATTTATTGCATTATGGTTTTGGCTTTATTTATTCATACTGTAGAAAACACCACAGCTTAAAATACGTACGCTGTCAATGAAAGTTGAAACCATCACCCAAGAAACGCAGGCCTTGTCCAAGGCGCAACGGGCAACATGTTGCAACTCGGACGGTTGCACTTAATCGTTTTTGGTTTTTTTAGGATATTGGTTCACGTTTACAGTATTGTAAGAAGTGTTTAAAGGAAAATATGCAGTGCGTCTTAGAAATGCGTTTTAGTGTTGAGATTGTCTGCAACAGTGCGACAGCGGCTTTGGACATTCTGCGGGACACATTATCTGCCGAAACTCTACCGAACCGGGGCCCCTACGGACGTTCTCGGTTCCTTGAATTTGATTTTTAATCTTAGGTTTCTTGGTGGTAGTTGTAGTTGTAGAACGAGTTTTCTGCTAGTCGTTTCATTTGGTGTTTGAAGGATAATCACATTGTCATTTGAATGCAACGAGAAAAGCGCGAGTAGTGTTGTCTGCTATGATATTTGTATTCGGTTTCCGGTGCATGTCTTGTGCATGGATTGTTACACGGGATGCTCGTTCTGGTATGCGTTTTGTAGATTTATGTATGTCAAGAAACTGTTTTACCTAGTTTTTGGTTCAGTCGCTTTGATATGACGGCCTCGATCTGCGCGAAGGATTGGAAATTAACCGGTCCCGAGGTGTACATGCGAAACGACATTCCCGGCTGGATGTAATAATTGAAGGAAAAGTTCCGGCTCTCACGTTGATGTATCTCCTGTTTTGACACACGCTTAATTGGGCTATCTTCTGGCTCCAGTTCCGATTGCCAGTAAATGTTCACTTTATCATTAGTTGTGGCATGGTAGTAAACGAGGCTAACATCCCACCTGCAAATCAATCAGAGAAAATTAAATCTACGAAATAACTGGCGCTACGCATTTTCCCCCGCTTACTGAGAATAAGACCCGTTTGTACTGTTGGAAATGAGAACGTGATGAATCGGAGTTCGGATCAGCACATCCAGTGTCCCAGCAGCCACACAGGGTGGCTGCACGGCGTCTTGAGAGCTCTTTAACTCTGTTACCAATTCATTTCGTAACTGAGACACATTCAAGCTTTGAGGGTGACCTTTAACGATCAAGTAGCTGGCATAAAAGAGCTCTTTATCGTAGATTTGTATGCCTTTCTCCTTCATTCGTAACGAGAAGTCGGCTTTAGATGGATGCGGAATACGCTGTATCAGACGAAAATCCTCGTTGGTGGGCGCGGTTTGGTGTAGCTTTTCAATCTCACCCGGATCCGAAATTGCTACCATATAGACGATGCGTGAAATAGGAAATCTGTAATTAATCATAATATTTTTATTATACCTTCATACCTCCTTAAAGCGCAGCGTAACACGCTGAGCGTATTAAGCAAAGATGTGCAGATTTATGATAAAAGCTACCCAGAAGTAGTTAACGTGTCGCCTTCGTTTAAATTCCAGAATATCCGGATAGCCATGGCACTGCGGCTTATATTGCGCGCCGTCGCATAAGCATCTGCCAATAAAAAAGGTCACGCTGGTTGAGCTCATACTCCGCGAAATTCTGCAGGCAGCTTTTACTGGACTGGCGAAAATTGGCCGAATTCCATGAATTTGAGGTTTCGTACCGAATTCGATTTTCCAGGCATGCTCAAGCGCCGATTCCAGTTCGCCGACCGAATGATTACTAGATAAAATCGTTACATCGTGCCAGCCGATGCTTCCTGTCAATTTTAAAAGGCCCTCAAACTCCGCAAGCTTTCCCATTTGCGGTTCCTCAAGCGGGGCGATATCCTGGGCCAGCAAGTAAAATCGGACATAGCCCATTAATTTCCCATGTTCGGAAAAGAGCTTTTGCTGTTCACTGGTTGAACTTCCTTCCGTACACAGGCTGGCCGTTATTACGGATTCGTTAAATTCTACAAACACAGAACAGGAACAGTTAAAATATAACAGACGGCAAAAACCCGCAGTTCAGGTTACCGGTAGTCTTAAAAGTGGAATGATTTTCAGTAGAATTCGGAAGTTGATAAAGTGTTTGCACATAACACTCTGCCGGTGCAGCTATCCAGCCGCAGAACAATAATGCCAACGATAATGCTAATATGTTTTCCATTGTTTTCCCAGCTACTTCCGAAACAAATAGGTGACTTCACGTATCCAAAGAGAAGAGCGTGGAAAATACTTTAGCTCTGAAACGTTTTAGTTTGTATGTGTAGTGCTGTGTACAGCTGCTTATGCGCCGCCCGACAATTTTGCAATCATAATAATCTCGGTTGACAATTTCATCAGTGTACGGTTATCAACTTAACAATCTTGTGTCCAGTCCACGGCTTACTTAACCATGCGAAACTAGCAAAACCGGCGAGTAAGAAGGAAAAAGTGTACAAAGTTTGCTCTTTGTGATACGCCTTCAAATTATTGACCTTTGAGACGGTGTTGCTGTAGGTATATTCGAACACGTAATATTACCTATAAGTCTACAACTACAAATCATTCTCGACATTTTCATCCTCCAGACACCGTGACCAAGCAAAAATAGTAGAAAAGTATAAGATGTAAATCATGCTATCACCGTAAGCAAGATGACAATGTTAAGAACTTGAACCGGGTTTCAGCTGGCAGCAATACGGAAAAATTCCAGTACAGATATACAGAATATCCGCGAAAGTATTACGCGGAAGAAATTTTAGTCACTCTTGGAATTACGATGGGATTCGTGTCAGCGGAATGCAGAACCGTATGAACACCGGCTCAGCTCAAAAATAAATAATATAATTTTTTTATTAATACAGCAGCTTTATGGATGAAGATTGTCGTCATTTATGCTTTTTCTATGCTCGCAGCCCTAAATACGAGTGCTTTACTACCCTTTGAGACTAAGCAATGCCGTTACTTAACGGTATTTCACATCCATAAGCAAAAGCAAAAGCATGTGAAATCGAAAATCATCCGCTAATATTGCATCCCGAAATGTTGACTCCGTGATTCGTCGCCCTGGACGAAGTCAGCTCGTTTTCTCCCGGGTTTCTTTTAGCTGCAAGATGAAGGTACCATAGGAAAACAGTATCCCCACCATCTGGAATTACATAGTCTTCATGTATAACGATCAGGATTGTGATGATAGCGGTGCTATGACGTGATTTACCGTGCCGATGAAGGTTCGATTTACTACGACGATACCGGCCAGCGAAAACCCGATGGGTTTATGGGTCGCACGGTAGAGATGGCCGAGCAGTTGCGCACGTCTTTCTTGATCGGTTTCCTTATCGATCAACCGGTGCATCTCGTACGAAATATCCGCCTAAGTGTGGAAGATCAAACCTTTTCGGCTAGTACCACACAGCTGACTTTTGTAAATTTAGACTGGCTGCAATAATTCCCAAACTTAACTATTCGGGGCAAAATTCAAAACGCCAACGTGAGTGTACAACGGGATGACTAATCAGTTACATTCGGCTATCTATACAGGTAGCATACCGTAATTATCGAATTTGTGGCCCTGGGGTGCAAATAGTTCGAAGTTATGGCGAAGAGGGCTTATTTCGGGGAGGGGGCGTAATTTCAGCGGGGTGGCATTATTTTTCAAACGGCATATTTTGGAAGGGGGCATTATATTTCAAACAACTGTGCATTCTGTTCTAGTGAAACTGAACGCAATAGTTACCGGTTTATCCAACTACACGACGTTACGAACACACATTTTGGAGCTTATTCTTACCTAAGCAACTGTTTCTCAACAAACACCACATTATGCTGATGTCCGCTTACTGTTTACCCATCAAATTACAATAATTGTTAGGAAGAAATTTGCGGTGTACTTATCATTTTGCAGAGCTTGACATTTAATAACGGCCCCCTGGGGCTTGCGGGGGGAGCCACAAATTCGATAATTGCGGTATTTAGGGAGTTGATTATATACCGTAGTTTTGAATTATATCTGTAAGCCCTATGCTTCTAATTTTCGAAGGTGCCCGGGATGAGGCTAATACCGCAAAGCAGGCTTATATTGTGGGGAAGCCTTCTAAATTTTTGAAGCCTTTAAACCAAGCGTTATTGCTATGCGCCGTATATGGGGGAGGCCTCTAATGCGGAAAAGGCTACTAAATTTTTGAGCTAAAGTAGGGGGAGCCTTTTACGATAGAGGAGGTTTCAATTTTGGAGGAGGCGTTCAATTCGAAAAATACGGTACTCCGATAATGAAAAAACGTTCTGCAACCTTACTTCTGTCGAAATTAAGGAAAATAAACGTACCTGCTCGTGTACATAAATCATAGCCAGTGTTGCAATAGCCACAACGGACGACAGAAAACATGCGCTCTGAATTTGTGTTCCCAGTTGTAGAATGTGGCTGTCTTTACCAGTTAGATTATTGATCACCCACAAGATCCACATAACAATTTAAAAGTAGAATAACAGAATATAGATTCCCAGCTCTTTAGCTAAGCTGTTAATCAGATTACACACGTTCAAGTGATCCTGCATGGCGTCGTTGGAAATGGCCTCCTCTTTCTTTAGAACCATTCGGTTTTTAATGCGAAAAAGCATCCGCCCGATTATGGCGAACACCGCGAATCCCCACATGATAATGTAGTACGACGATGCAATGTGTTTTGCGTACAGGATAAAATAGAGATACTTAGCCGTGAGGGAAGTTTGAAAAATTGTAATCCCGTAGGCGCTGGACCACAAACCGGCTTCCGTTTCCGCCGTCATTGCCATCAAGTCGTTCGACGATGTGATAAACTGATACAACCACATGGCTAACCAAGCCGATATAGCCAGAATTAACTGCGCCAGAAGTGCCGGTTCCCATTGGGTGAAATACTATCGTTCGTAGACGCGGATCTTCTCCACGGTGACCTTGATCCGTTTCCAATTTTTAGCGATTAACACGGCCGACAAAAATGCCACCACGTCGCCTTGCATGAAACACACATTCTGAATGAAATTGTCGAGTGAGCCTGTTAATTGCTGCCTAAACAGGGGAATGGTGACAGCGCCCAAATGAACTGTCTTAATCGCTGTGAAGATCACAATCCAGGAATACGACACCATCGTCTGTATTCTGGATTGGGTCGATTCGTACAACGGACAAATTCCAGCAATTTTTAGCAGAACCGTCCAAAAACCCAAAACAGCTTCCAGGAATCGGGTGATTCCCTTTTTGTGGAGATCTTCGTCTTCTGCAAACGAATATCGAGTGAGTGAAGATACGGAACGACAAAGAGAAACGTTTCCGGTCGCCATCTTATCAAAGATCGCGTACAAGACTTCGTTCACCACAGCTCCAGGTCAAGTCTTTCACTCTTTGATCGTTTTAATTTTTGGAAGAGCTCGCAACATGGTGTCCTAATGGCAGAGAACTGCGAGGAGCATGCACGCTAAAAATTTCTAAAGGCGGTAAGTCAACATAACAACTTTGCACAAGGTAAAGTGAATGTAAACACAGACAGAGTGAATACTGTGGAATTATGAGCAGTACTGAAATGCTTAGTCTTTATGGGATCGATTTTCTGCGAACCCGAAAGGTAATGGCAAGAAGTTGCCGTGTGAAACTCTTTCTATTATTGTACGGTAGCAGGAAAGCGTGTTGCTAAATAAACGTCCCAAAAGTGAGGTAGCACGCCTCAGACTTCTGAATATACGAGTATCTTCGTCGAATTATGACACACTTAAACTGTCAAAGTTAACATAAAAGAACTGATTATATCGAGAATCGAACGTGTATGGAGCTGGAATGCATCGCAAATATTACGGTACTGTAGAGGCTTTGGGCTTTTTTTCAGCAACCAGGCGCATCGCTTTTCACTCGATGATTCAAATTTCAATAGATACTGATATGTAGGTATCGACACTTTATTAGACACTTATCTGTAAACGAAAATAAATATATCGGAAACGCAGAAGAAGCTTAAGATTTGCGTTAATTTGGCACCTGAAACGCGATTGCTGTGCCTACCGTATGGGATCTCTGATGATAAGTGGGCATAAAGCACAGCACAATCGTACAGCATAAAAAAAATGGATCCGTGGCCAGAGCAGACGAGGCGGTGTCCTGCAGATGCTGTGTCATTATCTCAACGCTGGGGTAACGCCACAGATATCTGTATTTATCGGTGTCCATTTCTGGGTAGGACAATGTGAATTTCAGCTGTGCGACCACGTGCCTAAAGATTAAAAACAAAGAGTCAAAACCCGGAGCACAAATTTTCTCTAACATCGCAAAACCTCCCCCAGGTTTTCGCTGGAACGTTCCTTCAGCCGTTCAGTCACTTTCTTCCAATTTGCGTTTAATGGTTATGGCTGCACTTCTATAGTACTGAGTCGCTGACCATTTATACTCAAGCTGTTATTCTCAAAACATCAGTGCATACATCAGGGGTAAGTGGTAACTATACTGTACAACCTGTCCGACATTCGCGAGCATTTGTTGCACAATGTACCTTCCGGATATTCAAAAGCTTAAATTCTTTCACATTCTCACCCAGTGAGCGTCTGCCGTTGGAAAGAGCCGCTAGTTAATGCCACCATCAGATTGACATCGGAGAGTGTCAGAGGGTTGGATACAGCGAAGGCATCCCCGACCGCGCGAAGAACTGCATCAGGACTCTGCGCGGAGCAGGTTCAGAAAATCATAACTAGGCAACGTTGAGAAATACTTGCCGACTGAACAGTAATACTACGGAACTACCAACAAGCAACTTCAAAATTTAATAGTGTAAAGTGGCAAAAATACCGTGAGTCCGTACTGTGTAGTGAAGTTTCTAAAAGTGTAGGTGAAAGAAAGGTACCATGGGGCAGATGTCACCGACTGATGAATTCTATTGGTGCGGAGTACTTAGTCTAACACTCACCGAACCTCTTCCCCGTTTTAAACGTCCGCTCTTGTCGATATACGAGCGCATAACTGGTAGAATGAATGTTCGTGGCAGAGGACAAGCGTACAACCGTTCAGTATAATATGTTGGATTAGTGGTGCAGTCCACCGGGCTAGTTTCCGTGGAATTATACCCATCTCGGCTGAACTGGACGCCTCCGTACTGGAAACCGCCATCGTCCGGAGTACTCGATACAAAATGATTTCGGATCATTCCATCAAAAATCTGCTCATAAATGATTTGACCCCGTGGTGACTGTGAAGGTATCAGTCTTTGGTTGACAATAAAGAAATCCACTGTCTTTCCGGTAAAATATTAGTTCTCAGGAATCCAGACGATGATATCAGAAACTGCAACAAAACACAGCGCGTGGGTTTAGTTCACTTTTTATACGAGTATGCCGCTTTAATTGGAAAGGACTGACGGTACGAAAACGGGGCAAAAAGCTGATCGTGGTAACCATTCGACCAGAATGGGACATCAGAGATTTACACGGGAAAGCTAATTTCCAAGTCAATCTCTGGTAGACGGTACTGTCACCACCGTTTTCACAGTCACTTGGCTTAAAAAATTTGGAAGGATAGTCCAACTAGAAACAGTTCCCGTGTGAGAAATGGTAGAGATTCTTTTTGGAGTGTTCCGCTTTCAAGCAAACCGAGGCAATGTTTCCGTTTAGATTACCTTGCGCTAACTCCGACACCGTTGTCGGTAGGTCAATTTTAGAGAACTGTAAATTTTCTCACCTACTTACTGATTACGTTACACAAGTACGTTTGTATTGCGCGTCCCGGAGTACACAGCGTCTGATCTATTTTCCTGTATAAACCGCAAGAAAATTTGCCGTCACAGTAACCAAAAGCCTTACCTTTCGGATAATATGTTCGTGAGAAAACTGATGTTATCCGCAACCAGATAAATTACGCTTATGTTGAGAAGAGGTTTCCGGGCGTGGTGCACTACGGGCCGCGCGTTTATCCGAACGTAACCAGCAAGCAACGTGGTGTAATCAAGAAGTCCCTTATACAGAAATTTAGAAAACTCAATGGTCACTTCGCCGAATGGCACACATCAGTAAATGCTGAGAGCAATCATCGTACATAGCCGCACTACAGATACGACTTGCGAATCTCACCTGCAGCATGTTGACTGATTATCTCTTAATGGCCGGTAGCGACTGCAGGCTGACTGGCGGACTGGTGAACAGGCGGTACGAAGCATCGGGGTGGAATAACATGCTGAAAACAAGGGACTTTATTTACAGTCAAGGGACGTGGTTTTAATTTCGCTTGCATCCAACATTCGCTTTTTGCGCGCTTTTGCTTTTACAATTGGTCATATGGGCCGTACCTCTGCCATTCCGTATTCAAAGTTTTTGTCTACAAGTAACACAAGTTACACAACCTAGTGTTGCGGAACTTCGCTACAGGGTCATTTACGGACCTGCACCTTACGCGCAGTTTTGTCCGCAACGGTTTTCCCTGTATTTCGAACTTCACTTTAAATTAAAAAATAATGGCTCTTTTTTGGCTCAGACTCACTTTTTTGTTCCTGTGTCTTTACGGGCCGATTCGAAAAGGCTAGTCGAAAACGAAGAGTTTAATAAACCTTTTTCCGTTCAAATCTTTTTGAATTTTTCTTCACACTTAAATTTTCAACTAGATGTTGTGCAGACAAGCGCTTTTCACGGTAGACTCGGTAATGTATATCTATCACCTAACTGCGGAATGTCATTACTTATCATTTGGCTACCAAACGTTTTTAGGAGTGAGCGGAAAAAGCGAAATCTGCTATGTATACACCAATTTGCTTCTATGGACATTTCCCTTAGGTTTACTGTTACTAATAAATAACACACGTCTACTGTAGAACACATAATTACAGTAATATAGATATCAGGATTTAAAAAATTAAACAAATAAAAATAAAAATATTTTTAAGTGTAGAAAACAGGTTTTGTGAAGTGGGCAAAAAGTACGATCGACTAGCGAAAAGTGGACAGAGTGGTAACCTTCTACACATACAATCGGTCTCGAACGAATGCACTGCAATTCTACTGTCTGGCCGAATACTTACACGTCAGAATCATACGCAGAAAGTTTTTCAGCAATTAACTGAAGCGGAAATTTCCATAAATGCTGAATTCTGGTGTCTCGCATGTTGGTAAAAGACAGTGAGAATTTGTAGCGGGCAGCGTGGTCACTATAAAAAAAACCACAGTTATGTCCGACCGAAGAGAGATTTAGGTTTATAATTTATAATAACATTAGTTATTGGTTACAAAAATTATTTTAAGTGAACCTCCGAAATAAATAGATTGCGTAGAGTAATACAAGGCAGACTCGTGGTGCAGTACAAATACAGTAGAAGTATTACGTACATTACTTTTGCTGTCGATTACGCTGTGGTATGGCATGCCGTTCTAGTTTCAGCTCTACGGCGTATGCACCCATGCGTTTGATTCTCTCCGCTTACGCCTTACACGTTTGCCACTTTGTCCGGATGGGCTTGCACCTTTTGCAGATGCCTCACTGTTATGGGAGCATTTGAATAAATTCCGTATAAGGGTTTGAAAACTGGCTGTTGCCCTGTGAGGGCAACACTGAAGCGGGCGTTATCAATCGTCAAAGGATTAGCTTCGGCAAAAGCTGCTTTCCATTTTCGCATCCGACTGTTAACATAGAAAGCAAATATTCAATGCCAATTGAACCAAGCCCACCCTACGGCAAGTCAGTCTTACCGGTAATTCACTTAGAAGCGCCAGTACATGGATTGCAAAGAGTTCTTGCAATGGACAGTCAACGATTTTACCAGAGCGATCATAGGTTATCCGGCCTGCTTGACAGTCATTTAGAAAATCCTCCGATTGACAACGCATCGATTCGGGAATTCGATGCCTGCTTAAGAAGACGTTATCCGGATAGCAATCAACAGTGCTTCTACAGCATTCCACTCTGGTCTTCAGTCCTTCGAGGTGCTGATATATTTGCTCGGCGTAGAACAGGTTGGGATTTAAAGCGAAGATTGCTTCACCTCGAATTTCCAGCACGACGAAGAAATGAACGACGCTGGTGTTGTTCATATCGAGATTCCAGATGACGACCTGCACGGACCGATCCGCTCCCACTAAATAATTTCAGTTTTTAGTGGCTTTAGATTTATGTTTCGGGAGAATGCGAGTCTAATGTAAAAACAAGAGTATGCACCGACACTGAAAAGAGACGCTGACTCATAAAAATAATATGAGTATCACTACTTTTAGTAATACACGCTCTGTTTTCATATATGTACACTGTTTTTACGTTAGAGATACACGCTCAGTGTACGTAGTGATAAACGTGTAATGTGTAGTTTTTTTTAGCTGTCTAAGTTTGCAAGATTTAAAAAACTCAAAATGGTTAAAAAAAATTGAAGGATGGTCTGTTAAAAATTTAAAAAAATATTGAAAAAAATAGAATTCCTAATAAGTTTACTGTTTTTCAGAGAGCATCTAGCAAATCTCACAGGAAAAAGGCGCGTCGGCTTGGCACTTCGCGTGAAACCCAACTTTTTTGGAACGCGTCGCAGCAGCAATTGCGTCACGAGCTTGACATTCGCCACCAGTGCATTTTGCGTTTTGGTGCTGTGTCTTTTTCGAAAGTGTGTCGCTGCTCGCATGTCGGAAAAGTGAAAAGTGTCTTACCTAATTTCTGACTCAGTCGTTTGGTAATATCGTCCTGAATTTGCGGGAATGACTGGAGATTAACCGGTGCCGAGGTATACATACGGAATGATAATCCAGGCTGGTTGTGATAACTGAACGAACGGTTCAGGCTTTCACGCTGGTAGAGTTCTTGTTCTGACACGCGCTCTATTTGGCTAGCGTTTGGTCCTCGTTCCGATTTCCAATTAATGATAACTTTATCACTGGTTGTGGACTGGTAATTTACCAGGGTCAAATCGCCCCTGTTGTAAAACAACATGAAAAACAATCCTCGACGGTGCGTATACTTGTTGGCTTACTGAGAGTAAGACCCGTTAGTGTTGTTGAAAAGAAGAACATGGTGAATCTCGCTGCCGATAAGAACGTTCAATTCCCGGAAGCCGCACAGGGAGGCTCTAAGGCATCCCGAGAGCTTCCTAATTCGGCTAATAATTCTATTCGTAATTGCGACATATTCAAGTCTTGTGGGTGACCTTTAACAACAAGGAGCTCTGCGTCGACGAGCTCTTGGTCGTAGATTTGTATGCCTTTTTCTTTCAGACGCACGGAGAAAACAGTTTTCGAAGGATGTGGAATACGCTGTATAATACGCTAAATGCCGTCGGTGGGCGTGGTTTCGTGTAGCCAATCTCTGAGTGTATCTGAGACTGTCACGAAGTAGGTGATGCTCGTAACGGGATGTCTGTGACACGAAAGTTAGAATGTTTTACAGCAATAGACTGTACAGCGTTTATTTACAGCGCTTTACAGCCCATATCGCAGAGGAAACCCAGTATTACAGCTTTAATTCGACACTGACGTTACCCAAAACTCGTTAGTCTGTAGCCTTCGTTTGCATGCCAAAGGATACGAATAACAATGGCGTCACGGCTGATATTGTGCTGTGTCGCATAGGCAGCTGTAATTACAAGTACGTCGCATTATCGTGATTATCTTGGTTAAAATCATACTTCGCTGAAATTTTAATAGCAGTTTCATACTAAACTACCAAATTTTGACC